GTGTGGGGTGAGTGTGAGGTGTAAGTGTGGGGTGGTGTGAGGTGTGGGGTGAGGTAGGTGTGAGGTGAGGTGTGGGGAGTGAGGTGTGGGGTGAGGTGAGGTGTGAGTGTGGGAGTGAGGTGTGAGTGTAAGTGTGGGAGTGAGTGTGAGAGTGAGTGTGGGGTAGGAGGTGAGTGGTGTGGGGTGAGTGTGTGAAGGTGGGGTGGGGTGAGAGTGAGTGTAAGTGTGGGAGGAGTGTGAGTGTGTGTGGGAGTGAGGTGTGAGTGGGTGTGGGAGTGAGAGTGTGTGTGAGTGTGGGGTGAGAGTGAGTGTAAGTGTGGGAGTGGGGTGAGGTGTGTGAGTGTGGGGTGGGAGTGAGGTGAGTGTGGGTGTGGGGGTGAGGTGAGGTGTAAGTGTGGGAGGTGAGAGTGAGTGTAAGGGTGTGGGAGTGAGGTGTGAGTGTAAGTGTGGGGTGAGGTGAGTTTAGGGTGTGGGGTGAGTGTGAGTGTGGAGTGTGGGAGTGGGAGGTGAGGTGTTGTAAGTGTGGTGAGGTGTGAGTGTGGGAGTGAGGTGTGAGGTGTGGGAGTGAGTGTGAGTGTAGGGTGTGGGAGTGAGTGTGAGTGTGGGAATGAGTGTGAGAGTGAGTGTGGGGAGTGAGTGTGAGAGTAAGTGTGGGAGTGGTGTAGGAGTGTGGGAGTGAGTGTGGAGTGTGGGAGTGAGTGTGAGTGTGGGGAGAGTGTGATTGTGAGTGTGGGGTGAGGTGTGAGGTGTGGGGTGAGTGGTGAGGTGTGAGTGTGAGGTGTGTGAGTGAGTGTGAGTGTGGGAGTGAGTGTAAGGTGGGGGAGTGAGGTGTGAGTGAGTGTGGGAGTGGAGTGTGAGTGTGTGAGTGTGAGTGTGGGAGTGAGTGTGAGTGTGAGTGTGTGAGTGAGGTGTGGGAGTGAGTGTAAGTGTGGGAGTGAGTGTGAGTGTGGGGTGAGGTGTGAGTGTAGAGGTGTGGGGTGAGGTGTGAGTGTGGGGTGAGTGTGGTGAGGTGTCAGTGTGGGTGTGTGAGGTGAGTGTGAGTGTGTGAGTGTGTGGTGAGTGGTGTGAGTGTGGGAGTGTGGCGAGGGAGGGAGTGTTGAGTCAGGTAGGTGTTCCCGCACACAAGGTCACACAATATTGCCTTCATCAGCCCGTGTTGTCCACCAGGGTTTTTTCCTCTACCACACCTCTTTTAACACTCCTCTATGATAACTACTGACCTAAGTTCACTGTACAGTATGGTCAAGAATAAACCCAGACTGGAACAGACCACATATCATCCCGGCTCGCTCTCCAAGGACGGACGTTACGTAAGCCAGGTATGTCTTTTATCATACAATGTGGCGGCGGCTATGACGTAGTAGGTGATGTGTTCGTGACGTAAACCTCGCTGATTGGTCAAGATATTGAGTCTCCTCATTGGCTGCCGTCGTTGTATTGAGGTTGACTCGCCTCAGTGGCCTCAGCCCCGCCTCACCTGTCTCAGTTGACAGTGAGCTGTTGTGAAGTGCGCACGTGTTTTCCTTCTCCTGTGAGTGAGCCAATTATTTCCCTTTAATTTGTGATAATCTCCTCAATACTACCATAATTATATCACGCTATTATACGTGTAAATATAAAGCAGTGTTGATAATAATTATAGTGAGTGACAGACTTACTTAAATGTGAACTAGTTTTGACGGTCTTGCCTCGGGTACTAATTACTGAAGCAAGAGTGAGATTATTGAAGCAAGTGTGACGTTAATGAACCAAGTGTAAGGTTACTGAACCAATTGTGAAGTTACTGAAGCAAGTGTTTGTTTACTGAACCAAATGTGAAGTTACTGAAGCAAATGTGAGGTTACTGAAGCAAGTGTGAGGATACAGAAGCAAATGCGAGGTTACTGAAGCAAGTTTGAGGTTACTGAAGCAAGTGTAAGGTTACTGAAGCAAGTGTGAGGTTACTGAAGCAAGGTGTGGGGTTACTGAAGCAAGTGTTAGGTTACTGAAGCAAGTGTGAGATTACTGAAGCAGGTGTGAGATTACTGAAGAAAGTGTGAAGTTACTGAAGCAAGTGCGAGGTTACTGAAGCGAGTGTAAGGTTACTGAAGCAAGTGTAAGGTTACTGAAGCGAGTGTGAGGTTACTGAAGCAAGTGTGAGGTTACTGAAGCAAGTGTAAGGTTACTGAAGCAAGTGTAAGGTTACTGAAGCAAGTGTAAGGTTACTGAAGCAAGTGTTTGTTAACTGAACCAAATGTGAGGTTACTGAAGCAAATGTGAAGTTACTGCAGCAAGTGTAAGGTTACTGAAGCAAGTGTGAGGTTACTGAAGCAAGTATGAGGTTACTGAAGCAAGTGTAAGGTTACTGAAGCAAGTGTGAGGTTACTGAAGCAAGTGTTAGGTTACTGAAGCAAGTGTAAGATTACTGAAGCAAGTGTAAGGTTACTGAAGCAAGTGTAAGGTTACTGAAGCAAGTGTAAGGTTACTGAAGCAAGTGTAAAGTTACTGAGGAAATATGAGATAGTGATTAATTAAGAGTAATTTCCTCCTAAATGGCGACGTGAGCAGGTCTTAGAGGTGTGTGTCCGTGGTAGAGGTGTGTCCGTGGTAGGGTGTGTCCGTGGTAGAGGCATGTCCGTGGTAGGGTGTGTCGGTGGAGGCATGTCCGTGGTTGAGGTGTGTCCGTGGTAGGGTGTGTCCGTGGTAGAGGCATGTCCGTGGTAGAGGGTGTGTCCGTGGTTGGGGTGTGTCCGTGGTAGAGGTGTGTCCGTGGTAGGGTGTGTCGTGGTAGAGGCATGTCCGTGGTAGGGGCATGTCCGTGGTAGAGGTGTGTCCGTGGTTGGGGTGTGTCCGTGGTTGGGGTGTGTCCATGGTAGGAGTGTGTCCGTGGTTGGGGTGTGTCCGTGGCTGGGGTGTGTGTGGTAGAGTGTATCCTTGGCTGGGGTGTGTCCGTGGTAGGGTGTGTCCGTGGTAGGTGTGTCCGTGGCTGGGGTGTCCGTGGTTGGGGTGTGTCCGTGGCTGAGTGTCCTTGGTGAGGTGTGTGTGTCCGTGGTTGAGGCGTGTCCGTGGTAGAGGTGTCAGTGGCTGAGGTGTGTCCGTGGTAGAGGTGTGTCCGTGGCTGGTGTGTCCGTGGTGGGGTGTGTCAGTGGCTGAGGTGTGTCCGTGGTAGGGGTGTGTCCGTGGTGGGGTGTGTCCGTGGCTGAGGTGTGTCCGTGGTAGGGTGTGTCCGTGGCTGGGGTGTGTCCGTGGTGGGGTGTGTGTGTCCGTGGTAGAGGTGTGTCCGTGGCTGAGGTGTGTCCGTGGCTGAGGAGTGTCCGTGGTAAAGTTAATGTGACATCTTTCCTAGCCAAAAGAACATTGTTTTCCTAAGAACAGATTTTAAGGTACTGTACCATAATGGCCATATTTTAAAGCAGAGTATTTGTAGCTAATAATAATGCGGTGTTCGTTATGATAACTCATACGCGAGACATATTTTTATCAGACATAGACATACAATCTCTTTAATTGTTTAATTTGTGCAAAGGACTTTCACAGACTTCAAGTGTACACCATGAGTCCAATGCAACATTCTAAGACAGAGCGTCGTTATTGTTGGGGTCACGGCACCATTCACAACATATGACAAGCTTTTGTTTGATCTTGTTACAAAAACATTGTCCGGTTCTGCACTGACGTCCAGCTGGTGTACTGTACATCCACAAGTCGAGATGTGTACAAGCAGGGCATAGTGGGTTGGTGGCACATTTTGTAACCTGCACTTAACCTTTCTTGTCTGGGTGTATCTCAGTGTGTGAACTGACAGTGTGTCTCCTGCTGGATCATGTAATTTACACACAAGCTCCTCATATTCAAAAAGGGAGACAGAGCATCAGCGTCAAATTACCGGCCGATCAGTTTGACGTCAGTAGTGGGGAAATTTCTTGAATCAATTATAGCAGATAGCATCCAATCGCATCTAGAGAAAAGTAAATTAATCTACGACTCTCAACATGGGTTTACAAAGGGAAAATCTTGTCTAACAAATCTGCTGACGTTTTTTAGGAAAGTCTTCGAGGTAGTAGATAATGACGAAAATTACGATGTTATTTACTTAGACTTTAGCAAAGCATTTGACAGAGTACCGCATCAGAGGCTTCTGAGAAAAATTAAGGCTCATGGTATCGAGGGGAAAGTTTTAAATTTGATAAAATCATGGCTCACCGATAGAACGCAGAGGGTCAGCGTAGATGGTGTTAAATCTGGAGGGGGCCGTGTAACCAGTGGGGTTCCCCAGGGTCAGTACTAGGCCCACTCTTGTTCATAATTCACATAAACGATTTAGATATTGGGATCAGCAGTGACATAAGCAAGTTTGCGGATGACACCAAAATAGGGCGCAAATTAATTCAGGGCAGGATGCAAATGCATTACAGGAGGATCTAAATAAACTGCAGGGGTGGTCTGAAAAATGGCAACTGAAATTCAACACCAGCAAGTGCAGCGTACTTAATATTGGAAGAACAAATACTTATAATGTATACAGCCTTAACAACATCAACCTAGAGAAGTCGACTTGTGAAAGAGACCTAGGGGTACTTGTAAGCCCGGACCTACGGCCTAGAAAACAGTGCGTTAATGTTCGAAATAAGGCAAACAGAGTATTGGGTTTTATATTTAGAAGTGTAAGTAATAAGAGTGCAGAGGTCTTATTGCAACTATATCTTGCGCTAGTCAGGCCGCACCTCGATTATGCGGTTCAGTTCTGGTGCCCCTATTATAGAATGGATATCAATTCACTAGAGTCGGTGCAGCGAAGAATGACAAAAATGATTCCGGGACTTAGAAATCTTCCATATCAGGATAGGTTAAAGAAACTTAACTTGCATTCCCTAGAAAGACGAAGAGTGCGGGGAGATATGATAGAAGTATTCAAGTGGGTGAAAGGAATCAATAAAGGCGATATAGATAAAGTTCTTATAATATCCGAGCAGGATAGAACTCGGAGCAACGGATTCAAGTTGGATAAGTTTAGGTTTAGGAGGGAGATAGGAAGAAACTGGTTCACAAATAGGGTGGTGGACGAGTGGAACAAGCTTAGCAACTTTGTAGTAAGTGCTGGAACGCTGGAAATTTTCAAAAGGAGGCTAGATAGATTCATGGATGATAGAGAGTGGTAGTAACTCTCGACAGGAGCTGCCATGCACAGGCCAACCGGCCTATTGCAGACTCCTTATTTTCTTATGTTCTTATGTATACTGTATGGCCATCATGTGTGTCCTACCCCTACAGTAGCTGGGCCAGAAGGTGGGGTCCCTACAGACCTTCGAGGTTCCAGAACAGTGGCTCGTGGTGTCACATCGTGTGATGGCGTGAAACACAACAGTTTTATCGCTTACTTCATCTGGGAATTTCGCGTCGTACACCAGAAGGTAACTGTGTGTTGTTGATGCGCCACTTTTCATTCAGCGTTCTTTGCTAATTCAAGAACAGAAGGTAATCAGTAGCAAGACAGTATCTGCATCACTGCTTGTGACAATGATTCTTATGGCCTTCTCGCTTTACCTTAAAGGCGTGCAAAACCATGAGAGTGTCTGTCCCATGTGATGAAATGAGGTGGTTAGTGATTCTACCCGTTGAAGAGCCAGCATGACCATCATAACAACCCAGTCTCTGTTGTCTGGAGGTGCTTGTTAGAACAGTTCTTTGTTTTCATTTAGGTCTTTGCCGGTTTATCCCTCTATACTTCCCGAGTTCGAGGTGCTCTGGTTGCACAACATATCGGGCACGTGGCTCTCACAACACTAGCACCAACACATTTCCCAAATGTCTGGGCACCCTTGGGTTATCCCTTAGCCTGAACCGCTGCCCTACCTTCAGTCAGTGTGCTTGTTGGTGGCCAGGTAAGTGGCATACCTGTCGGTGAAGTGCCTCTTCTAAAATAGAAAGAATTTCAGCTTTGCTGCTCTTAGGTTTCCGTCACAACTAGCTAGTACTAGTGATACGGTACACAGTTCTTGTCAGTACTAGAGGTACAGTACACAGTTCTTGTCAGTACTAGAGGTACAGTACACAGTTCTTGTCAGTACTAGTGGTACAGTACAGTGTTCTTGTCAGTACTAGAGGTACAGTACACAGTACTTGTCAGTAGTAGAGGTACAGTACACAGTTCTTGTCAGTACTAGAGGTACAGTACACAGTTCTTATCAGTACTAGAGGTTCAGTTCATTGTTCTTGTCAGTACTAGAGGTACAGTACACAGTTCTTGTCAGTACTAGAGGTACAGTACACAGTTCTTGTCAGTACTAGAGGTACAGCACAGACCACGTTTAGTTTTTTTCTCAGGGTGTGGTGCATGAAGGCTACATGTCTTTCCCCTGACCATTCTACCACAAACGCGTCTACAATTTGTTGCCGTAAGGGTCGTGCATTGACCAAGTCTTGTACTGTACAATCGATTCACGAGGAATGTCATCACAAGTAGATTCCTGGCAGTGAGTCGCTAGCTTGATTTGTTTTGGCCGTGACATCATCAAACATTGTTGAGAATAAGCCAGTCACACCCCACCTCAGGTCTAACAGTGGATACCTGTTGTCTCACCTGGGCAACAGTGATACACATCTGTTGCTCTAAGTTGAGGATGTCAGCCAGTGTGTCTGTCTCTTGTTAGACTACTACTAAACAACAACAACTCATGTATACCACAGTGACCTGACTTGACCTGACCTGACCATAATATGACCAGCCTAACGAATCCTTGGTCGTTGAGCCGGAGGGGGAGGTGGTTGTTGACCCGGGGATAGGCTTGTTGACCTGGGTGGTGGTTATTGACCCTGGGATGTGGTTGTTGACCTGGGGAAATGGTTGTTGACCTGGGGAGGTGGTTGTTGAACCGGAGGAGGATGTGGTTGTTGACCCGGGGATGTGGTTGTTGACCCGGGATGTGGTTGTTGACCCGGGATGTGATTGTTGACCCGGGAGGTGGTTGCGACCGGATGTGGTTGTTGACCCAGGATGTGGTTGTTGACCCGGGATGTGGTTGTTGACCTGGGAGGTGGTTGTTGACCATGGATGTGATTGTTGACCCGGGGAGGTGGTTGTTGATCGGTGGTGGTTGTTGACCCGGGGTGGTGGTTGTTGACCATGTGTTGACCTGGGAGGTGGTTGTTGACCCGGATGTGGTGTTTGACCCGGGGATGGTTATTGACCCGGGGAGGTGGTTGTTGACCCGGAGGAGGTGGCTGTTGACCTGGGGGATGGTTATTGAGCCAGGGAGGTGGTTGTTGACCCGGGATGTTGTTGTTGACCCGAGGATGTTGTTGTTGACCCGGGGATGGTTATTGACCCGGGAGGTGGTTGTTGACCCGGAGGGGAGGTGGTTATTGACCCAGGGAGGTGGTTGTTGACCCGGGGATGTTGTTGTTGACCCGGTGATGTTGTTATTGACCCGGTGATGTTGTTGTTGACCCGGCAGGGGTGGTTGTTGACCCAGCGGGGAGGTTGTTGTTGACCAGCGGGGGAGGTTGTTGTTGACCCGGGGGAGGTTGTTGTTGACCCGGGAGGTGGTTGTTGACCAGCCGGAGGAGGTAGTTGTTGACTCGGGGGGGCATGACCAGGGGTGGTTTGTTGACCCGGGGGGGGGGCTGGTTAAAAGACTTATAAATCTTCACCAGACATGTTGTAGTTTTTGTAAGTAGCATTATTAGCTACACTTTTATAAGTATAATGAGATATAGGATCTTCTGCAAGCAGTGTTATTGTGAACTAAATATTTGGAAATTAGGTCAATATAGTATTTATAAGTAATATCCTCAATAACTTATGAATAACGTGGTTGTTGCACTTATAAGTAATATCCTCAATAACTTTTAAATAACGTGGTTGTTGCATTTATAAGTAATATCCCCAATAACTTATAAATCAAACTGGGCACGACCACCTCCCCCACCCCCCTCTAAACATCAACTATGGCACTATCGGAGGGCAAGCTGGCAAACCTTGCGAGAATTCTTCACCCACTTTCCTTGGGATGAATGTTGCTTTTCCACTCGGGATGCCTCGGTATGTGCTGACAGCGTTGCTGGGGTTATACAGGGTGGTATGAGTGCATTTATCCCATCTTCTGCCACAACTTTCACTTTACAATCATGGTTTAATCGCTCCTGCTCTCTTGCATGCAGGGTGAGAGATAGGGCATATCAAGCTATGAAACTATCTCCTTCTCCTATTACCCACTCCTCTTTCATTACTTCCAGGAATCGCTGTAAGGCTATTCTTCGTAGGGCCAAGCGGAATTTTATAAAAAGAAAGACCGCTGTCCTGACTAATTCTTCCTCTAGTAAATCCTTCTGGTCCTTAACCAAAAACATCTTTAACAACTTCTGCACTCCTTCATTTCCTCCTCTCTTCTGACCTGATAACTCTATAGCCAACTCTCCCCCTGATAAAGCCAATCTCTTTGGCACCTTATTCTCCTCTAACTCCACCTTAGACGATTCCCACTCTATCCCTCCTGCCCCTGCTCCTCCTACTGAACTTTTGCACTTTCCTATAATCTCCACTCGCAGGGGTGCCGGTGTGTTATCCAGGTTGGATGTGAGTAAGGTGAATGGACTAGACGGAATACCCTCTTGTGTTCTGAGGGAGTGTGCTGAAGCCCTGGCCCCTGTGCTTGCTCGCCTCTTTTGCCTTTGCCTCAAAACCCATTCTGAAGAAGGGTGACCATCCTAATCCCTCTAACTATCGCCCCATTGCCGTAACTTCATCCCTTTGTAAGATTTTCGAAACTATCTTGAACTACCATTTTCTCCGTCACCTTGAACGCCATTCTCTTTTGTCGGATCACCAGTATGGTTTTCGCCAGGTGAGATCTACTGGTGATCTGCTCTCCTACTGCACCCATCTTTGGTCATCCTCTCTTAGGGATTATGGGGAAACTTTCGTCGTGGCCCTCGACATCTCCAAAGCATTTGACAGGGTATGGCACAAGTTTTTGCTATCTAAACTTCCCTCTTTTGTTTTCTCTCCCCCACTTTGTTTTCTAATCTCTATCTTCCTTGAGAACCGATCCATGGCAGTTGTTGTCGAGGGATCGATTTCTCGCTCTTTCTCTACCAATAGTGGTGTTCCACAGGGTTCTCTTCTTTCACCTACTCTCTTCCTTCTTTTTATCAATGATTTACTTTACACTACAACTAATTCTATCCATTCTTACGCTGATGATTCTACTCTTCACTCTTCTTCACATTTACCCCTTCCTCCTAACTCTCAAACTAGATCTGTTTCTAGAGCTGATATCATTTCATTTATCAATGCGGATCTGTGCAGCATCTCCGAATGGGGAGGTACAAACTTGGTTAAATTCAATAGTAATAAATCTCAGTATTTACCAATTACACTTTCCAAATTAGATTATCTCCCACCAATTACATTTCAGGACGCTATCATTCTGCTAAATTCTAAAATAAATATGCTAGGCCTCACCATTTCCTCTAATAGTTCATGGAAGCCACACATCCTCAACATTGCTAAAGCTGCCTCCCGAAAGTTGGAATGCTGTACAGATGCCGTAACTATTTCACTCCTGAGCAGTTGCTTAAGTATATAAGGGATTCATTCGTCCTAACATGGAGTACAGCTCTCATATCTGGGGTGGCTCTACTTCTGTCCAACTGTTAGATAGGGTGGAATCAAAGTCATTTCGTCTTATTAACTCTCCTCCTTTAGTTGACAGTCTTTCTACTCTTTCTCTTCGCCGCAATGTTGCTTCACTCTCTCTCTTTTACAGGTACTTTAACGGGCAATGTTCGGTGGATTTGGCATCCTGTGTACCGCCGGCAAGGCCGTGGGCTCATTGCACACGTCTTGCCCGCGGTGCCCACCGTTTCTGTGTGGATGTCGGTCCCACTAGAATAACCCGTTATAGTGCCTCCTTCTTTCCTCACACAGCCAAACTGTGGAATGCTCTGTCTTCTTCTGTGTATAACAACTGAAAACTCGTATAGAAGATATAGGAAAAATTTTTAGTTGTAGGATTGTAAAGTGAGGAAAGCTTGGTAGCGTGGCCGATATGTTTATTTAACTTGGAATTATGTTCTTAGGGGAAAGCCTCTAAACACCAATTCTAATACAGCTGTTTATTAGTTAACTCAATGACATGGAAACATTAATAGATCATTATATTAACGTTACAAGACAATGACTCTTGGACACAAACATGAAATGGATACACTTCCCAACTTAAGTAACCTACCCCACGGATCGCGCTGACAATGACTCACGTGTGACCTGAGGGAGGCCCAGCGGCTGGGGAATGTCTGCAGGTGCTGCTGGACTGTCTCCTGTGGGAGATTCTGCTAGCTGGAGACTCGGTACTGGGGAGGGAAGTCTCCCTCCCGACCTCGACTTGTGACAAGCGTGACTCTTAGTTCTGTCTCGCCCTGCCTGACTCTGGTAAGGAGCTGTCGGCCTCTTCCCTGTAATAATAATAATGCCTCGTGGAAGGAGCTGAAGGCCCCTTATATTGGCGGTAGGTCTGGACTGCTCTGTTTGCCCAGGTGCTGGAGAGTAGCTTCTTGAGTAACATGGTCATGATCGCGTGCTGGTGAGAACTCTGGGTCAGGTCTTAATCTCACCTTAGTTACTGTAGGGCGTGTAGGGTCTGTCAAGGGTGTACACGTGGGTATCTACTTACTGTTATATGTGTTGTACTTCTCTGGGCTGTAAGCTGTGGTCTGATAAACAATCATTACATGTGTTTCCATACTCATACAATCTGTCTCATTTTGAAAAGCTGGTTCTCCGGCATCATCGTGGTGTAGATTAATAATACCTTTTCTTTTCTATTTTTTCTTTCTATTCTTATTTTTTCGCCCCCAGGCCCTGTTGTGGGTCGATGACCTGTGCCCGGGTGGGCTAATCCCCTTAAAAAAAATAACATGGTTGTACTATTTATAAATAATATCCCCAATAACTTATAAATAACGTGGTTGTAATATTTATAAATGATATCCCCAATAATTTATAAGTAACGTAGTACTGGTGTGTGTTTACAGAGTGAGGTAGACTGTGGGCCAAGTGTACAGCAGCAACACCATGAGCAGAGGCGTTGAGATGACGGGATGTGGCAAGTGCATCCGATTTCTGATGTTTGCAGTCAACTTTGTGATATGGGTGAGTGTTGTGTAGTGTTGTGTAGTGTTGTGTGTAGTGGTGTGTTGTGTAGTGTTGTAGTGTTGTGTGTAGTGGTGTGTTGTGTAGTGTTGTAGTGTTGTGTGTAGTGGTGTTGTGTGTTGTGTGTAGTGTTGTGTGTAGTGGTGTGTTGTGTAGTGGTGTGTTGTTGTGTGTTGTGTTGTGTAGTGTTGTTGTGTGTTGTGTGTAGTGTTGTGTTGTGTATTGTTGTGTTGTGTAGTGTTGTGTTGTGTAGTGTAGTGTTGTGTAGCGTAATGCTGTGTGTAGTGTAGTGTAGTGAAGTGTTGTGTTGTGTGTTGTGTTGTGTTGTGTTGTGATGTGTTGTGTGTTGTATTGTGTTGTGTTGTGTGTTGTGTTGTCTTATGTTGTGTTGTATTGTATTATGTTGTGTAGTGTTGTGTTGAGTTGTGTAGTGTTGTGTTGTGTAGTGCTGTATTGTGTTGTGTGTTGTATTATGTTGTGTTGTGTGTTGTGTTGTCTTATGTTGTGTTGTATTGTATTATGTTGTGTAGTGTTGTGTTGAGTTGTGTAGTGTTGTGTTGTATTATGTTGTGTTGTGTAGTGCTGTATTGTGTTGTGTGTTGTATTATGTTGTGTTGTGTTGTGTGTTGTGTTGTCTTATGTTGTGTTGTATTGTATTATGTTGTGTAGTGTTGTGTTGAGTTGTGTAGTGTTGTGTTGTATTATGTTGTGTTGTGTAGTGCTGTATTGTGTTGTGTGTTGTATTATGTTGTGTTGTGTTGTGTGTTGTGTTGTCTTATGTTGTGTTGTATTGTATTATGTTGTGTAGTGTTGTGTTGAGTTGTGTAGTGTTGTGTTGTATTATGTTGTGTTGTGTAGTGCTGTATTGTGTTGTGTGTTGTATTATGTTGTGTTGTGTTGTGTGTTGTGTTGTCTTATGTTGTGTTGTATTGTATTATGTTGTGTAGTGTTGTGTTGAGTTGTGTAGTGTTGTGTTGTATTATGTTGTGTTGTGTAGTGCTGTATTGTGTTGTGTGTTGTATTATGTTGTGTTGTGTTGTGTGTTGTGTTGTCTTATGTTGTGTTGTGTTGTATTATGTTGTGTAGTGTTGTGTTGAGTTGTGTAGTGTTGTGTTGTATTATGTTGTGTTGTGTAGTGCTGTATTGTGTTGTGTGTTGTATTATGTTGTGTTGTGTTGTGTGTTGTGTTGTCTTATGTTGTGTTGTTTGTATTATGTTGTGTAAAGTGTTTGTGTTGTATTATGTTGTGTGTTGTGTTGTATTATGTGTGTTGTGTGTATTGTGTTGTGTGTTGTGTGTAGTGTTGTGTTGTGTTGTGTATACTGTTGTGGTCTTATAGTACTAGTGTTATAGTGGTATAGTACTGTAGTGTTATAGTGGTATGGTGGTATAGTGTTATAGTGGTATAGTACTGTAGTGTTATAGTGGTATAGTGTTATAGTATTATAGTATTATTTTGTTATATTGGTATAGTGTTATAGTGTTATAGTGGTATAGTACTGGAGTGTTATAGTGTTATAGTACTGTCGTGTTATATTGTTATAGTGGTATAGTGTTATAGTGGTATAGTACTGTAGTGTTATAGTGTTATAGTGGTATGGTGGTATAGTGTTATAGTGCAGTTAATAATGTCTTGGCCATTCACTTTTGTAGTAGCAGTTTGAGTGATGTTCAGGTGAGTGGGAGATAATGTTCAGGTGAGTGGGAGATAATGTTCAGGTGAGTGGGAGATAATGTTCAGGTGAGTGGGAGATAATTTTCAGGTGAGTGGGAGAGATGACACTAACGAGATGTTGTTGATGTTGCAGGTGGCCAGTATAGCCATTTTAGTGCTGGGTGTATGGACCGTGGTGGACCGGCCTTACCTGGAGAGACTTCTTGGTAACGATATGTACATGACAGCAGCTTACATCCTCATCGCTACCGGATGTATCGTATTCTTCGTGTCATTCCTCGGCTGTTTCGGCGCTCTCAGGGAAGTCAAGTGCATGCTGCTGACGGTGAGGCTGTTACTGACCTATTGTAGGGGTGTTACTGACATATTGTAGGGGTGTTACTGACCTATTGTAGGGGTGTTGCTGATCTATTGTAGGGGTGTTACTGATCTATTGTAGGGGTGTTATTGACCTATTGTAGGGGTGTTACTGACATATTGTAGGGGTGTTACTGACCTACTGTGGGGGTGTTACTGACCTACTGTGGGGGTGTTAAAATAATAATAATAATAACTATTTATTGAAAGAGCTTGGCAACCAGAAGGCTGAAAATATACAGTTACATATGTGGGGAATGGGTTTCGAATTACAAATAATATACAAGTAACATAAGTGACACAAATAAGATATATAATAACTGTGGGGGTGTTACTGACCTACTGTGGGGTACACTGACCTACTGTGGGTGTTACTGACATAGGGTGTTACTGACATATTGTAGGGGTGTTACTGACCTACTGTGGGGGTGTTACTGACCTACTGTGGGGGTGTTACTGACCTACTGTGGGGGTGTTACTGACCTACTGTGGGGGTGTTACTGACCTACTGTGGGGGTGTTCTAACAAGTCTTGTCTCACTCATAGTACTTCATCATCGTGCTCCTGCTCTTCATCATTCTACTCATTGCTGGGATCCTCGGCTACGTGTTTAAGGACAAGGCGGAGACATCTGTCAACCATGCAATGATGAACGCCATGAAGGAGTATCGCTCAGGCTCTAACAACACTTTTACTAAGGCTTGGGATGAGACGCAACAGGCGGTAAGTGGTGTGTGTGTGTGTGTGTGTGTGTGTGTGTGTGTGTGTGTGTGTGTCCGTCTACTGTGACAGACGAGTGGTGACGGGGACAGGCAGAGATGACTGCTGGGAGTCTTTAGTCACAACTCGGCACATGGGCGGCATTGATAAGATGGTTCGTTTATGCACTGGGATCTAGGCAGCAATGCAATCCGGTCCTGTCTGTGCGATTAAGCAGCCTTTTCGAGGAGCCACTCTGCTCACCCCACATTCCCACATGGGGAGGGGGCTAGAAAAGATGCCCTAAACATAGTCTGCCTAAAAAAAAACCTGACTGGGCAACCGCACCCAGTAAGATCATCCTTATGTGGTCGAAAACATGATGATAATCACAGATCTAAACAAAAACCAAACTATACAACCTCTTATGGTCACTGGATGGAATGTCAGGAGCCTTCTGGATACTGACACAAATGAGCGTCCTGAAAGAAGAACTGCCCTTGTGGCAAAAGAGCTGGCTAGGTATAATATCGACATAGCAGCCATTAGTGAGTTCCGGCTCCCAGACGAAGGTCGACTCACAGAACGGGGATCTGGCTATACAGAGAATGACGGCCAGAGTTGGCGAACATGCTGCCATTTCGCAGGGAATCATAGGGAGAAATGGACTAGGCAAGTGTAATCACAACGGCTTATTCCTCCTCAGCAAGTGTGCTGCACACAACCTCTCTATCACCCATACCATGTTTAGACAGGTAGGGCTCGTGGCAACACCCTCGATCCAAACACTGGCATCTCATTAGCTGCATCACTGTCAGAGAGAGAGATTGCCGAGATGCCCTCATCACCCGAACCATGAACCATGCGTGGCTCAGACCACTGTGATCCATATCATCGGCTCGTCAGAGCCAAACTCTCCCTTCACGTTAAGTCATCATACTTGAAGGGGTAAGTCATTATACTTGAAGAGTTAAGTCATCATACTTGAAGGGTTTTCATCATACTTGAAGGGTTAAGTCATCATACTTGAAGGGTTAAGTCATCATACTTGAAGGGGTAAGTCATTATACTTGAAGAGTTAAGTCATCATACTTGAAGGGTTTTCATCATACTTGAAGGGTTAAGTCATCATACTTGCAGGGTTAAGTCATCATACTTGAAGGGTTAAGTCATCATACTTGAAGGGTTAAGTCATCATACTTGAAGGGTTAAGTCATCAGACTTGAAGGGGTAAGTCATTATACTTGAAGAGTTAAGTCATCATACTTGAAGAGTTAAGTCATCATACTTGAAGGGGTAAGTCATTATACTTGAAGAGTTAAGTCATCATACTTGAAGGGTTAAGTCATCACACTTGAAGGGTTAAGTCATCATACTTGAAGAGTTAAGTCATCATACTTGAAGGGGTAAGTCATTATACTTGAAGAGTTAAGTCATCATACTTGAAGGGTTTTCATCATACTTGAAGGGTTAAGTCATCATACTTGAAGGGTTAAGCCATCATACTTGAAGGGTTAAGTCATCATACTTGAAGGGTTAAGCCATCATACTTGAAGGGTTAAGTCATCATACTTGAAGGGTTAAGTCATCATACTTGAAGGGTTACGTTATGTTACAGATGAAGTGTTGTGCCATCAATGAACAGGACGAATGGGCTAAATACAACACGGAGTTCTCCCAAACTGGCTTCAAGGTTCCAAAGTCCTGCTGTAAGAAAGACGATACTTCCGGGTTGGTGAGTACAGTACTACGAACCCATATGGTACTATAGTAAAGTACAGACCAGTTTGGTATCCTGGAGAATACTGTAATAGAGTACAGTATAACTACAGAGTACAACTATACTCGTATGGTACTCCAATATAACGCAGTACAACACAGTACAGCATACTACTGTACAGTAAAAGACACCATAAAATAGTACAATATCAGTATGGTGAAGTATATACTAAACTATAGTATAGTACAGTGTACTGCACTACAAAATAGTACAGTACAGTACACTACAAAATAGTACAGTACACTACACTACACTAGAAAATAGTACACTACAAAATAGAACCGTGCAGCATACTACAAAACAGTACAGTACAGTGCACTACACTAGAAAATAGTACAGTATAGTACACTACAGTAGAAAACAGTACAGTACACTACACTACAAAATAGGACAGTACAGTACACTGCAGTATATTACAGCACACTACACTACAAAATAGTCCCTTGCAGTAAACTACATTACAAAATAGTATAGTGCAGTACACTTCACTACTTAATAGTACAGTACAGTACACTACACTTCAAAATAGTACAGTACAGTACACTATACCTCAAAATAGTACAGTACAGTACAGGACACTTCAAAATAGTACAGTACAGTGCAGTACAGTACACTATACTTCAAAATAGTACAGTACAGTACACTATACTTCAAAATAGTACAGTGCAGTACACTACACTACTTAATAGTGCAGTACAGTACACTACACTTCAAATTAGTACAGTGCAGCACACTACACTACAAAACAGTAAAGTACAGTATACTACACAATAGTACAATACACTACAAAATAGGATAGTACAGTACAATACATTACAAAACAAGACAGTACAGTACACTACACTACAAAATAGTACAGCACAGTAACCTACAGTACACTACATTACAAAATATTACTGTACAGTACAATACAGTACAGTACACTACAATACAAAATAGTATAGTGCAGTACACTGCACTTCAAAATAGTACAGTGCAGTACATTACACTTCAAAATAGTACCGTGTAGTGCACTACACTTCAAAATAGTACAGTGCAGTACACTACATTACACTACAAAATAATAGCAGAGTACAGTATACTACACTACAAAATAATACAGTACAGTACACTACACTACAAAATAATACAGTGCAGTACACTACATTGCACTACAAAATAATAGCAGAGTACAGTACTGTATACTACACTACAAAATAATACAGTACAGTACACTACACTACAAAATAATAGTGCAGTACACTACACTACAAAATAATACAGTGCAGTACACTACACTACAAAATACTACAGTGCAGTACACTACACTACAAAATACTACAGTGCAGTACACTACACTACAAAATACTACAGTGCAGTAAGGCTTGAGTATTATTATTCATGTATGGTACTATTGTATGATTCCTTGTATTGTAATATTCCTATTTAACAAGGTCATTATGTTAAGCATAATATAACTCTATGTAACAGCTGTATACTTAACTTTGATATCTATATTCAAAATAATTATATTTAACATAGTGTATTTAGCAAAACTATATTTAACAACTTTATGTAATGTAAACTTTATTTAACATATCTATATTTAACGTAACTATATTTAAGAAAGTTGGTATATACAGTATAAGAACTTTTAAAAATAATATTGTTTCAACAAACTATATTTAACATGTTGCTATCATACGTGATAATATTGACGATGATCAGTGATTATTATTGCAGCTACAAGAGTGCCAGACAAGACCTAGTGAAAGTAATTCTTTCACTGATGGATGTTTCTCCATGGCAACTGACTTTGTGAAGCAACACGCTCTTATTATAGGAGGTGTTGGTATAGCAGTGGCAGTTATTATGGTGAGCTACACTTTGTTAAATTATCTTATATCTATTATTACTATACTATATGGTATTAGAGTAAAGGCTAAAATATAATCTTATACCTATTACAAGTATCACTATTTTGGAGTAAAGGCTAAAATAACTATATTTTCTTACACCTATTATCACTATATTAGAGTAAAGGCTAAATTAACTATATTTTCTTACACCTATTATCACTATATTAGAGTAAAGGCTAAAATAACTATATTTCCTTACACCTATTATCACTATATTAGAGTAAAGGCTAAAATAACTATATTTTCTTACACCTGTTATTAGAGTAAAGGCTAAAATAACTATATTTTCTTACACCTGTTATCACTATATTAGAGTAAAGGCTAAAATAACTATATTATCTTAAACCTATTATCACTATATTAGAGTAAAGGCTAAAATAACTATATTATCTTAAACCTATTATCACTATATTAGAGTAAAGGCTAAAATAACTATATTATCTTAAACCTATTATCACTATATTAGAGTAAAGGCTAAAATAACTATATTTTCTTACACCTGTTATTAGAGTAACTGCTAAAATAACTATATTATCTTAAACCTATTATCACTATATTAGAGTAAAGGCTAAAATAACTATATTTTCTTTTATTTTTACTGTATAAGTGTGAGGGAGTTTATCGTTAAGTGTCATGCTATTATTGTCTCAACCAAAAACTTGACTCGGTCTTTATGTTTCAGGTTGTCGGTCTTATGCTGTCAATTATCCTCTTCAAGATGATTACCTAAATCTTTGGTGTTCTGGCTTGGGTGTATTGTGTTAGGGCCCGGGTGTGTTGTATTAGGGCCTGGATGTGTTGTGTTAGGGCCCGGGTGTGTTGTATTAGGGCCCGGGTGTGTTGTATTAGGGCCTGGGTGTGTTGTGGTGTTGTGTTAGGGCCTGGGTGTGTTGTGTTAGGGCCTGGGTGTGTTGTTATTAGGGCCTGGGTGTTGTATTAGGGCCTGTGTGTTGGTTAGGGCCTGTGTGTTGTATTGTATTAGGGGGTATTAGGCCTGGGTGTGTTGTATTAGGGCCTGGGTGTGTGTATTAGGGCCTGGGTGTTGTGGTGTTGTGTTAGGGCCTGGGTGTGTTGTGTTAGGTCTGTGTGTGTTGTGTTAGGGCCTGTGTGTTGTGTTAGGGCCCTGGGTGTGTTTAGCCTTGTGTGTTGTGTTAGGCCCTGGGTGTGTTGTGTTAGGGTCTGGGTGTGTTGTGTTAGGCCCTGGGTGTGTTGTGTTAGGCCCTGTGTTGTGTGTGTGTGGTGTGTTGTTAGGGCCCTGGGTCCTAGGGCCTGTGTTGTGTTAGGCCCTGGGTGTGTTGTGTTAGGCCCTTGTGTTGCCCTGGTGTGTTGTGTTAGGCCCTGGGTGTGGGTGTGTTGTGTTGTGTGTTAGGGCCCTGGGTGTGTTGTGTTAGGGCCTGGGTGTGTTGTGTTAGGGCCTGGGTGTGTTGTGTTAGGCCCTGGGTGTGTTGTGTTAGGGTCTGGTGTGTGTTGTGTTAGTTAGGCCCTGGGTGTGTGTTAGGCCCTGGGTGTGTTGTGTTAGGCCCTGTGTGTTGTGTTAGGCCCTGTGTGTTGTGTTAGGTGTTGTGTTAGTGTTAGGGCCCCTGGGTGTTGTGTTAGGCCCTGGGTGTGTTGTGTTAGGGCCTGGTGTTGTTGTGTGGCCCTGGGTGTGCCTGGGTGTGTTGTGTTAGGCCCTGGGTGTGTTGTGTTAGGCCCTGGGTGTGTTGTGTTAGGCCCTGGGTGTGTTGTGTTAGGCCCTGGGTGTGTTGTGTGTCTTTAAGCTCTGAATGATAAATTAAGATGTTTATTGTCGTGTTCTTGGTGTTTATACTGTACTTGGATGTATTGCAATGCAAGTCTTATAAAGTAACATTATTATGATATTGTGTGAGTTAAGTAAATCTTGTGATAAATAAATAAATAAATTATAAATGTATGTATATATATATATATATATATATATATATATATATATATATATATATATATATATATATATATATATATATATATATATATATATATATATATATATATATATATATATATATATCTATATATATATATTTGTGTGTGTGTGGGAAGTGAATAAATGCCAGTATTCTCGCTGACACCAACTGTAGGAGCATCGAGGCTACCATTATCCATGAACAACTACGCTGGACTGGCCATGTTACCCACATGGACGACAGTAGACTGCCAAAGCAGCTACTTTACAGTCACCTAACAAATAGTAAACATAATGCTGGCGGCAACTGAAGAGGTATAAGGATAGTCTTAAGACAAACCTGAAAAGTGCCAAATCGACCCCCTTACCTGGGAGACGATTACTCCACACCGTAACGTTTGGAGGATCACCACACAAGAAGGTGGCAATACTTTCGAGTTAGCCCGACTGCATAACGAGGCAGACAAGCGCCAATTCCGGAAAGATGCTGCCCCCGACCCTCCTGCACTAGATGTAGCCCTCCACACGTGCAACATCTGTAATTGACTCTGCCGGTCCTGTATCGTCCTCTTTAGTCACCTCAGAGCTCACCAACCTAGGTGACATCCTTAATAACTCATATCATTGTATCACAGCTGGATGATCGTCATACTCGATTCAGAGTGACAGCAAAGTAGTAGTAGTGTGTATGTGTGTGTGTGAGAGAGATATTTTACTATAATAGTTTGCACTTGATGTGTTCTAAGATATATTTTGATAAGATTTCTGTAATTTTCTTAAAATATTACATACTGAAGATAGAATGAGTGTGTCTAGTTGAGAGCTTCACTGTGTGTGTGTCTCTGTGAGAAATTTGGATTGACAAATGTACACCACAGATATTGTCTACTTGTTATTATTAAACATAAACATTGTGTGTTTCCATAAAGAAGACTAATTAAATTTTTCTCGTGGTGATACAGTCGAGTTGTGGAGGAAAGTCCCTGGACAGTTTTACGTACCTTATGGCGATCTGTTCGCTATATTAATGTTTTTTTAATCAAACAATTTGTGTATTGCGTAAAGCTCTGACAGTCCTGACTCAAAAAGCACACAAGTGTACAGGGAATATTGCCAAAAAGTTTACAGAACTTTTGTGGTTTTCATTTGTCAATATTATACTTTAGTGTAGGTAAGATGGTTAGATCCTTTCTGATTCTCAATAAACAGTTGTACAGTTTTAAATATATAGTTTTAAGAAATCAATTTGAATCTGGTGTTTGAAGCTGTCAGTCGAGAATATTACTTTTATAATACAACGAAAGTTTGTTTAATGTTACTTTTATCCTCTTCGCCACTGAACGGCTTGTTAGCCGCTTGGGCGATCGGTCACGTCTCTGATTACAATTATATTACCAGGCCGCCCCCTCATTGACAATGTTAACGACCAGGTGAACTTTACTGTAACAATTATTATTAAAAGTTGGAATTATTTTCTAACTTTATTATAAATTTACCACAAGTGTCATGGAAGTGTGTACTGTACTGTACTGTACTGTATTATGGTGAGTATATGTGTACTGCCCTGGACCTGTATTATACTATGGTGCGTACATGTACCGTACTGGGTATGTTTATCCTGCCTTTGGTAAGAACCATATTGTGTTGGATATATCTGTCCAGGATAAATTTGAGAACAACCCCAACAGTTGCCAAGGGTGTTGTGAACACCACAACAGCTGCAAGGGGTGTTGTGAGCACCACCACAGCTGCCAGGGGTGTTGTGAACATCACAACAGCTGCCAGGGGTGTTGTGAACACCACAACAGCTGCCAGGGGTGTTGTGAGCACCACAACAGCTGCCAGAGGTGTTGTGAGCACCACCACAGTTGCCAGGGGTGTTGTGAGCACCACAACAGCTGCCAGGGGTGTTGTGAGCACCACCACAGCTGCCAGGGGTGTTGTGAGCACCACCACAGCTGCCAGGGGTGTTGTGAACATCACAACAGCTGCCAGGGGTGTTGTGAACACCACAACAGCTGCCAGGGGTGTTGTGAGCACCACAACAGCTGCCAGAGGTGTTGTGAGCACCACCACAGTTGCCAGGGGTGTTGTGAGCACCACAACAGCTGCCAGAGGTGTTGTGAACACCACAACAGCTGCCAGAGATGTCAGCACCACTACAGCTGCCAGAGGTGTTGTGAGCACCACAACAGCTGCCAGAGGTGTTGTGAGCACCACAACAGCTGCCAGAGGTGTTGTGAACACCATAACAGCTGCCACAGGTGTTGAGCACCACAACAGTTGCCAGAGGTGTTGTGAGTACCACAACAGCTGCCAGAGGTGTGTGAGCACCACAACAGCCAGAGGTGTTGTGAGCACCACAACAGCTGCCAGAGGTGTTTTGAGCACCACAACAGCTGGCAAGGTGTTTGAGCACCACAACAGCTGCCAGAGGTGTTGTGAGCACCACAACAGCTGCCAGAGGTGTTGTGAACACCACAACAGCTGCCACAGAGGTGTTGTGACCACCACAACAGCTGCCACAGGTGTTGTGACCACCACAACAGCTGGCAGAGGTGTTGTGACCACCACAACAGCTGGCAGAGGTGTTGTGACCACCACAACAGCTGCCAGAGGTGTAGTGAGCACCACAACAGCTGCCAGAGGTGTAGTGAGCACCACAACAGCTGCCAGAGGTGTTGTGACCACCACAACAGCTGACAGAGGTGTTGTGACCACCACAACAGTTGCCAGAGGTGTTGTGACCACCACAACAGCTGGCAGAGGTGTTGTGACCACCACAACAGCTGCCAGAGGTGTAGTGAGCACCACAACAGCTGCCAGAGGTGTAGTGAGCACCACAACAGCTGCCAGAGGTGTTGTGACCACCACAACAGCTGACAGAGGTGTTGTGACCACCACAACAGTTGCCAGAGGTGTTGTGACCACCACAACAGCTGACAGAGGTGTTGTGACCACCACAACAGCTGCCAGAGGTGTAGTGAGCACAACAGTTGCCCATCCCACTATACATGTGAGCAACAGACAATAGGTACAGTGGTCACTAAGGTTTGGTAATAATTGTACATTTATTAAAGATGATAAGCAACACCTGGTTGGTCTGGTTGAAATAAAAAACTTTAACTTTTAAAGTCTTTTAAATTTAATTTGTATAAGTATTTACATAATATACAAATTCATCATAATGTTTCTTTCCAACATTTCGTTCTACTTCATCTAACAGACGGTAAGATAAACCCTATACATGTGTCAACACCATCAGTACAGTACAGCATATACAGTTGTCGGCAAAATTCCCCAAACACTCGGCAGGCAATATCTTGCATCGACTGAGCTTGTGGGCTAGAGTGGATTACTTTTTAGGTGCATAATTTACAATTACCTTTACAGTACCTATATGATCTTTAAGTGCATTTGATATTGTTGTAAATTGTTCAGGAAATTATGGTCAGCTGTACTTCACAAACATCATAAGATAAGTTTTATTCAACTACAGGGTATACACACAACTTAGTTCACCACTTTCTCTCTTCAAGTGACCACATTCATTGATTTTCTTCCTTAATTGGAACCTCCTCGGCTGCCATGTGCTCACGGAAGTTAGGAAACTGTTCCCAGGGAGCCGACAGGTCAAACTTACGGAATTCCTGAGCCAGTTCCAGAGGCTCAACCACAACCCTCTTGGCTTCATCATCATATCGTACCTGAGAAAGTTAAAGAGAATGGGTTATTATTGACCTGTCCTGTATACAAGGCATGGGCAACCTTCCCTAAGTCATGGGCCGCATTACGATTTAGGTAGTTTTCTGTGGGCCAACCCACCAAAATTTATATCCTACATATTATATATGCACAGTAGACCTTCCCATTCGCGGGTTTGCGATTTGCGGTAAGCAGATGGTGGCTAGCTTTTTACCGCAGCACAACGAGTCACCCACGCAGCATCTTGTGTTGTACTCTCAAAACTTTAGTGTTTTTGTGTTAAATGGCTCCTAAAAAACTGCCTAGTGTCAGTGTTAGTGATGCTTGTGGAGTGAAATGTAAAAGGTAGAAGTCAGCGATGACCCTGACAAAGAAGATTAAATTATTAGATAAGTTAAAAGGGGTCGAGTGCTGCCGCGGCTGGTCAGTTGCTTGGTATAGGTATACAGTAGTGCACTAAGGTAGTACAAGTTGCTATTCGCACCATTCCAGAAGGACAGCGCCTAGACTCATTGGCATATGGACTTATCTTGGCACCTATCAACACCATTGCTCCACTGTCTTGTGGATTAACCTTGGTAGGTACAATGACGGTCTAGGGAGAAAAGGTGACCAACATAGGAACCCAACGACTACACCAGCAGAAAAAGGCAATGCCTGACGGACAGGCTACTAAGGCAAAACCCAATAACTGGGCTATTGACAGTTCATTGCAACTCCCTCTCCCCAGTCGTTGCAACACTGGATCAGGAAAAGGGAGAGCCAAGATGTGTAGTTGCAGCCTGTGCTCCTGCCTCACCACATAAATCAACTCACATGTAGCCATCATCCAGCTCATCATACCTCTCATCATCATCTAAACCCCTATACCCCCAAAAGTCCTATGGTGATGGACGAGTGGCGACGGGGACAGGCAGAGATGACTGCCGGGAGTCTCTAGTCACAACTCTGCACATGGGTGGCCCTTTCGGGGAGCCACTCTGCTCACCCCTCACGGGGAGGGGGCTAGAAAAGATGCCCTGAACATAGCCTGCCTAAAGAACCAACCTGACTGGGCAACCACACCCAGTAAAGTCATCCTTATGAGGTCGAAAACACAATCAAAATCACAGATCCAAACAAAAACAAACTATACAACCTCTTATGGTCGCTGCATGGAATGTCAGGACCCTTCTGGATACTGGCACAAATGAGCGTCCTGAAAGAAGAACTGCCCTTGTGGCAAAAGAGCTGGCTAAGTGTAACATCGACATAGCAGCCATCAGTGAGTCCTGGCTCCGAGAACGGGGTTCTGGCTATACAGTGGTCCCTCAATTAACGAGCACAATTGGTTCCAGAGTCAGTCGTTAACTAAAAATTTTGTTAACTGAATCTGTTATTTCAATGGGGTATTGGGTAATTGGTTCCAACTAACTGAAAAAGTATACATACAAAGTACTGTATACCAGTAATAGAATTAACAAAACATTAAATATAAACAAATTACAGTACTGTACTGTACAGTATACTGCACAATAATAAAAAAACAACAGAATACTATATTTTAACTTCCTTTGAGGTGTGTATGTCATATTACCTGCAGCTTTGTTTACATATCAAACAGCTGATTGTAGAGGCAGTCGATGATGACATGCCATATTCTTAGAGTGCATTAGTACTCATGCTTTCTTCGTATTTCATACTACTTTCTGCACTGTATATTATCAATATGTTAACTAAATTTCAGAATGACCAATAATTTTAATAAAAAAAAAATATTCAAGAACACAACTTTCTAGATACAGTATTTACTCCACTGGAAACAAATATAAACATACAACCAATTTCTGAATTGGCGGACTAGCCGATAAGCTGATGTGAGCACCAAAGCGTGTTTCTCGTAAGGCTGTCATTAATAGAAGTTGAACTCGTTAACAGAACTGAAAATCCTTATGGGAGCTAATTCGTTAACTGAAATCTTGTAAATTGAACGCTCGTTAATGGAGGGACCACTGAACCTTCTTCTGGAAGGGTAAGCCTGCTGCGACAAGAAACAACATTTATGGAGTTGGCTTTGCCATCCACCAACACATCCTCCACAGGCTAACTGAAATGCCTATTGGGATCAACGAACGCCTCATAACACTTCGAGTTCCACTGAATCACTCACGTCATGCCTTTTTCATCAGTGCATACACCCCAACACTGGATGCAGAGGATGACATCAAGGAGGCCTTTTACGTCGACCTTGACAGAGTGCTAACCTCTAAACCCAGAGAAGATAAGGTTGTGCTCCTTGGTGACTTCAATGCCAGAATTGGCAGAGATGCTGACATTTGGCAGGGAACCAAAGAGAGAAATGGACTAGGCAAGTGTAATCCCAACGGCCTACTCCTCCTCTGCACACAACCTCACTATCACCAATACCTTGTTTAGGCAGGCTCACAAGTTTAATGGTTTGTGGCAACACCCTTGATCCAAACACTGGCATCTGATTGACTACATCATTGTCAGCGAAAGAGATCGCCGAGATGTCATCACCTGTGCCATGCGTGGCTCAGACCACTGTGACACTGATCGTTGGCTCGTCGGGGTCAAGCTCTCACTTCACGTCGCCCCAAAACGGCGAAGGCAACAAGCCTCCACAAGAGGTTATAACACTAAGCCTCTGGAGGACCCAGCAGCAACACATGCTTAAGAGAGCAGCTCAAACATGGGCTGATAAACAAACCAACAACAAACAACCCGAAGCCAAATGGGGAATTCTCGACACTGTCATGACAAAAACCTGCAGAGACCCTCGGCCAGATCGAAAGAATACACCAGGACTGCTGTGATGAAAATGACCCGGAAATCAATGTACAGTGACCCCTCGTTTAACGAACGCCTCGGTTAACGAAATTTCCGTTAACGAACTGCCTTCCATAAGGATCTTCAATTCGGTTAACGAACAAAAATTCGGTTAACGAATTTCTTACGAACCGACCTCAACATGTTTTTGCTTGCACTGACCGGGCAACCAGCATTAGTATCAGTCCGCCAATACATTAATCGGTTCTAGGGCTTAAATTCCTTACTATTTTAGTAAATATCAAGAAGTTTATACTATTCAATAATTTTAAAAGTTTAATATTCAATTTTTTAGTCATTTTAACAATTATTGAACATAATTGAAGGTAAAGTGACTAGTTTAATGCGCGGCATCCAGCCTCTTAACACAGCAAACAGGCGTTAGTCTCTCTCTGTTTTCACTGGAGGTAACATCTTGCTTGAGACTCTCTTCAACTAAACGCTTTTTTTCTGTGTTTCCAAGCAAATTATTGGTCATTTTGAAATATATTTTACATATTGACAATATATAATGCAGTACAGTGTTGATTTAAAGAAAATAATCTTGAATTACACCAAGAGAACTAAAATTTTATGGGTGAAATGGCACCATGGGGTAACTTCTCTTCCACCCCAATGCCTTCTCTTCTCCTCCACCCCATTCTAATTCCCATCATCATCATCATCCAGGAGCCTTCTACATGCACACCTCAAAGTAAGTGTACTTTTCTACCATTTTTTTTAATTTAGGCAATTTTCGGTGAGCTGGAACCAATTACCCCAAAACCCATTGAAATAATGGTTTCGGTTAACGAGTTTTTCGGTTAACGAGCAACCTTCTAGAACGGATTGTGCTCGTTAACCGAGGGACCACTGTACCTGCATATATAAAATATCATTTAAAAACAAAAATTTAAATTTCGCGCCATTTTCATTAGTCCCGTGTATGGTGCAGCAAACAGACGCCACTCTTTCCCATCTCAGACATCAGCTGCTCCGAGAAGCCTCAGTCCACACGTGCCTACCGTACTGTGAACGCTACTGTGATTAACTCTTCTGTTTGTCCTCCCACGTGCATTCCACACGGCTCCGGGACGTAAGCCAGCCTCATCAGAGGCAAATATTACTAGCAAAGACTCTAAAGTGACCAAGAGATCAAGAATAGTGACGACCTTAATGGAAAAAACAGTTTTATTGGACAAGCTCCGAGGTGGTATGAGCTATGGCTCAAGATGTGGTGAAGACTGAAAATTCATTTGTGTCTTTTGTCAGAATACAAGTCTTTAAGTGGAGGAATGTGGGTGGAAGAGGACTGGCTGGCTGGCGTGAGGGAGGGCAGACGCCGGGACAGCAGGGAGAGGCTGGCAATGCGGGTGTTGCCGACCTCGACGAAATATAAAAAATTTTATTTACTTGTAAAGATATTTTTTTGGTATATAACTGTGCTTACGTTTTCCATTATTATACTACAATATGATAAGTTTAAAATAATGATGTTAGTAAATGCCGGCTCAGTGATCAGTGTGACCACTGGAGAGCACGGCGTGGTTAAGTGCATGACCTACCTGAGCTGCTTGGTGGCCACAGGTACAGTGATTCCTAAAAGAGTATTCGTGGTTTTGACTTTTCGCGGGGGTTCCAGGAACTTAATTCCCGCGAAAAACACGGGATTACTGTACATAGAACAGACAGCCAGGCATGACAGATTGCCCACGAGGGGCTAGTTTATTGGGCACCCCCTTACATCCTGGGCAAGGTGAAGCGCAGAAGCGTTTACAGCCAGGCATGAAGGATGAGGTACTATGGAGAGAGACCTTCACCTTTGACCCATGTGACCACCGCCCATGACCCCAGTAACCCAACCTTAGTTAATTCCCAAGTGACCCACTGCAACATAGCAGCTAATTCACCTAACAGACCGCACCCAACTTGGCCAGTAAACTCACACAAGTTAAACTGTTTATATTGTTGACTATTGATACTTATTTCACTGTTACATTATCATAGGTGAAGAAACAGTAATGAATTGTGTGTGAAGAATATTCTTTTAATAAATATTGCTTTACTCACCATAAACTGGCTGCATCTACCTCAACCACAGAACACATTAAAGAGAATTTATCAATCACTGAGGGACACACAAGGACATGGTTTGGGCCCGGCCGTGACTGGTGTATACCACTAACACACTGCTGATGAATTGAGAAACATACATACACTGATTACTATAACATAATACAACCTGTCATACACCACCTGTCATACACCACAACCTGTCATACACCACACACCTGTCATACACCACAACCTGTCATACACCACAACCTGTCATACACCACAACCTGTCATACACCACACACCTGTCATACACCACAACCTGTCATACACCACACCTGTCATACACTGTCATACACCACCTGTCATACAGCACAACCTGTCATACAGCACAACCTGTCATACAGCACAACCTGTCATAGAGCACAACCTGTCATACACCACACACCTGTCATACACCACAACCTGTCATACACCACAACCTGTCATACACCACACACCTGCCATACACCACACACCTGTCATACACCACACACCTGTCATACACCACACACCTGTCATACACCACACACCTGTCATACACCACAACCTGTCATACACCACACACCTGTCATACACCACACACCTGTCATACACCACACACCTCAACATAGCCAGAGAGGGGGAAGTCCTTCCTCAGGGGATGACCCTCAAAGCCATAGTCGGTGAGAATTCTGCGAAGATCCGGATGATTAGCGAAGAAGACTCCATACATGTCCCACACCTCCCGCTCATACCAGTTGGCCGCCTTGTGAACCTGTTAACATGACAACTTGTTAAGGGTGGAGCTGTACAATCCAGTGGACCTCCCCCCAACAACTAGCAGAGAGGAGGCACTCATCTTATATTGGGCAGAGTTAACTATAATGCAACAGGAATCAGCAGCACTCATAACAAAGAGCAGGATTACACACTTAAGTCTGACCACAAAGGAATGGATGTTAACATTGTTACGGTACTTCACCCCCGCTCCCCTCACGGCCTGTCTGAATTAGCCGGCAAGCAAAATATTTGGGGTTTTTTTCACAGAAGGAATTGTTATACTACACATGGACATTAATGATATTTCAACAATGTTTATAGAGTAAACCCCCGATAACTCGGCACATATGGGGCTCTGGCCTGGCCCACCTATCCTAAATTCCGACTTATCGAGGCACTTCTCTCCTCCTACAGAAACACAACAATAGAAAATTATCGACCCATATATGTGTACATGTAATTACTAAATGTAAAAAAAATAACACTTACAGCAGAAGAGTGAAGCATGGTAGGTGATAGAGGTATGGTAGGTGACAGAGGTATGGTAGGTGACACAGGTATGGTAGGTGACAGAGGTATGGTAGGTGACACAGGTATGGTTGGTGACAGGTATGGTAGGTGACACAGGTATGGTAGGTGACAGAGGTATGGTAGGTGACACAGAGGTATGGTAGGTGACACAGGTATGGTAGGTGACACAGGTATGTGTGTGTGTGTTTAATAGTGATATATCTTAAGAACCATCCGTCTGAATCAGTGCAGTAGTATATGCCTTATACTCTTACAAGCCTTTATCTAACAATACCATTGTTATTCCAAGACTCTGAATATTTTAAACATCAAATGGTATTTCTTTTGTCGAGTGACTATTTGCCCCCACCTTGTGTAGATTACGTCACCTTTAGTCTGGTGTCTTTAAAAAATAATTATTCTATATTTTCAAAAAGGTGTTTGATAAATTTGTACCTTATTTATTTATTTATTTTTTATATATGTCTAATAAAATATAAATATAACGCTGATGTTATTGGCGGGAAGGTGAGGGAGACAGAGGTGTTGTCAGTGCTCACTACCCTTCCACTCCCTCACTTGTAGAAGGCTCCTGCCAACATGGAATACCACACGCAGAAAATCACTGAACGTGGTATAATTATCGGCATGAAGGAGGCTGGGTTTTCGCCAAGTGAAATTGCCCGAGAATTTGAAGTTTCTCGGTCAACTGTATACTCTTGGATTAAGCGACGGGAAGAGGAGGGAAGTTTAAAGGACCACCACAGGACGGGAATGCTGCACAGAACAACACCTGCACAAGTTGAAGCCATCCGGAATTTCGCTGAGGCCAACCCCGTCAAGACTTCATGTTCAATAAGAGAGGATCTACAATTAAATATTTCCCCTTTAACAATCAGGCGAAGACTTCACGAAGGAGACATTGACCATAGAACTCCCGCCACCAAGGAGAAGTAAAATGAGCTACATCGCGAGGGCAGGTTGCAGTGTGTTCGACGGTATGCTGAAGAAGGCTTAGATTTATGGGGAAGAGTAATATTCACTGATGAAAAAACTTTCTCATCTACCTCTCACGGAAGGTTGGAGGAGGAACAACACCCGATATGCTAGACAACATATTTATGAGGAAGCAAGGAGTGGCCATGTGACTTACAATGTTTGGGGATGGATATATTTGCGCAGAGTTGGAGAGCTGACTGACATAGAAGGAAGATTCACAGCTGAACAGAATTTAGAAATACTCGAAGAAGTTATGCTTCCCTCGGTACGTGCATATGCTTTCCCGTTTCCCGAAAACATCATTTTCATGCAAGACCGACAGGTGTCCGATCCATACTGCACGGATTGTAACGCGGTGGTTTGTAAAACCAAGAAATTTGGAAGTTTTAGACTGGCCAAGTAAAGTGAGTAGGAGGAGCCGAGGCGGAAACCACAACTGATACACAGTCACGTCGCCTTTAAGTAATGTAGAATGAAGGTGTTGGACTAAATATTAATATGTCAAAAATAATTTCCCTATGTATTCAACGTCACATAATGAATGCACATCGATATTATTTTTTTCCATGTTAACTTAAATAATATAATTTTCATGAATATAAGTCAAATTGTATAATAAATGTAAAGAAAACAACCCTCTTGTAATATCCTCACTTATGGAGATGTATTCAGGAAGATTTAAGACACAAATCCTAACATTATACCTATAATTATTATGAAAGAGTACAGTATAATATACGATAAATATATTACATGTGACATAATTACCATATATACCACGGAAAACATCAGAGAGGGAGACAACGAAATAAGTGAACAGTGGTCCCTCGATTAACGAACACAATTGGTTCCACAGAGTCGTTCGTTAACTGAATCTATTATTCCTAAGGGATATTGGGTAATTGGTTCCAACTCACAGAAAAAGTAAATATAAAGTAAAGCCAAAAAATGCATAAAGTCAGAAACACTCCCAAAAATCTCCGAAATCACCCTGAAATCATGTACAGGTAGTTCTGCTATAACGCGATAGTAGTGTTCTTGTAAAACATCGTGTTATAGAAATTCGTGTAATAGAAATAACAGGGCTTATGGAGAAAATAGGGTTAGGTGCAGATTACTCCAAATCGAAAAAAAATTTCGTAGTTAGCCTAACACAAAGGATAGCACAGTCTAAATAAATGTTACATTCATATCTAATAATGAAATCATACAGTAAATGTTACACTTTACCTTGAAAAAATATGAATATAACTTGATGGGGGATAAGGGTGATGTTGAGGCTGAGGAGTCATGAAACATCAAGCTTTTCTTCAAGTGTTATAGCCTTTCTTTTACGATCACCACCGGAAATGCGATCACCAGAGTGCTTCCCAGAGATATTCTTCTTTTCCATAGTCACAAAATTGGAGAAACAGTAATCAGAATTCACTGAGGACACTTAAAAACTTCACACGTGTTTCAAACAAAGTGTGGAGTAAACAGAGCGCGCGGGTCTAAAACGCTATGTATTTTGTTTTTCTCTTATTTAAAATTTTACATTTTACATATACTGTACAGGTATACTGTATACATAAATATTACATAAATTATTTCTGCAATTCTTCACAAACAAAACACATAAATCAATTGAACATGTGATGTCGAACGTGAACTGTAAACACTGCATAACCCCGCGCCAAGCCACAATGTACAGTACACTTTAAACGCTACTTATTTTGTTTTTCTCTCTTATTTAAAATTTTACAATTTACATATACTGTACAGGTATTTCTTCACAAACAAAACACATAAATCAATTGAACAAGTGATGTCGAACGTGAACTGTAAACATTGAGCCAAGCCACAACACTGTACAGTACACTTTAACACTTTAAACGCTACGTATTTAGTTTTTCTCTTTTATTTAAATTTTTACGATTTACATATATATATTTCATGTAAATCCACAATGAAAACGTGGATAAGATAAATCTTGATAAAATCACACGGGAAAATGGAAACAACGGAGTACCTTAGCTTTCGTCTTTATTCAGAGGCAACTGGATTACATGGACAGAGAGAGGCTTAAATATACAGGGTGACCTAAAAACAGGTCAGCTCATAATGATGACATCCACTAATCCCCACACCAACACACACGTAGAGGAGCTTAAGAGAAGGGTGGTGACGTGACTAGCCAGGTCAGGTCAGAAAAAAGGACCCACAAAATAACTATCATACATCTAGATCAAAGGTTTTCAAAGCATTTTTAACCTTGGGCCACTGACAAATAAATTTATGTAACATATTATCAGTTTTGAACTGACCATCACTAAGGTTTATTGATTTTAATTCCTTAATCAAACTAGCTTCAACCAGAAGTCTTTCTGTGACAAGATGATTTGTGGGGATTAGTGGATGTCATCATTATGACCTGACCTCATGTTTTTAGGTCACCCTGTATATTTAAGCCTCTCTCTGTCCATGTAATCCAGTTGCCTCTGAAGATGTCTTGAATAAAGACGAAAGCTAAGGTACTCCGTTGTTTCCATTTTCCCGTGTGATTTTATCAAGATATATATATATATATATAAATTACAATTTACATATACATACATATATATATATATATATATATATATATATATATATATATATATATATATATATATATATATATATATATATATATATATATATATATATATATATATATATGTATGTAAATTGTAATTTACATATTATTCATATTATGCTAGAGCGCCCACAAAACATGAGAAACGTTTGAGTCCCCCAGTAGAGATGTCCGTTCTCTATCCACTCCAGGATGTCCGTTTTCTTTTTGTGTACTCGCTCAGGGACTCAAGTATTTCTGTATATGACACAGGATGATAAGGGAATTTGAATTTATTTGTTTATTTATTTATATATAATATACTGTAATATATTAAATATACTGCAAGTATTTTCTTTAATTTATATACGTGTTTCGCGAAAAAGGGAGGCTACATTTATGGTGATCGTTAAGGACCAAACTCCGAATCCATGACGTGACTTCTGTTCATTATTTATATCCTAAATTTACCACTGTAGGTAGTTTCAAGAATTAATGCAGTCATTTACTGAATATTCTTTGCAAAAAAATAAATTTTAAATGAATTATTTATAAGAGATAAGTATTATGATCAGTAAATATACAGATATGCATTACTGACCACCTCCGAACACAAGGACGGCTAAAAATAGCCACAGGCGGTCACAGTCAAGGTCACTTTCCCTTTCTTGTCACTGGCAAATGGGGGAGGGGGGGATGATAATAGCAGCTGTGTTTATTACGGTATGTTAGACTGGTTTATAATACATTTTTATTATTTTAATATACCGGTAATCTTCATTTTAATCCAGCTTACCAAACGTAAGTTTCAGTATAAAATAATTAGTGGTACTGTAGGACCTTGTGAGTGGTTTACTGTATACATAAATATTACATAAATTATTTCTGCAATTCTTCACAAACAAAACACATAAATCAATTGAATATGTGATGTCGAACGTGAACTGTAAACACTGTGTGTGATGTAGAGAGAGCGCGGGTGTAAAACGCTATGTAATTTGATTTTCTCTTTTATGTAAAATTTTACAATTTACTTATAATATATAGGTATACTGTATACATAAATATTACATACATTATTTCTGCAATTGTTCACAAACAAAACACATAACTCAATTGAACATGTGATGTCGAACGTGAACTGAAGCCACAACAACCGTTCGAGTGGAATCGCGTTAGAGCAAACGAGTTCGCGTTTTACAAATATCGTTCCTCAATTCATAAATCGCGTTCGAGCAAATTCGCGTTGTCAAAACACGCGTTATAGCAGAACTCACTGTACATATACACTAGAACTCTTAAATCACTACTGTAATGTTATACAGGTGATTAATTTTTCTCTTGTGCAAAATATATGACGTTTATATTCAAATTATTTGTTGTCGTGCAAGGATTCCAGCAATGCAAATTATATTCTCCTAACTTTAGTCTGTGATATTATATAAGATAAAAACTGTAAGCCTAAAACACCAAACCCTGGAGGGAGGGAGGGAGGGGAGGTGACAGTGACATGTTTGACAGTTGTGCCAAAGGTCTAGTGAAGTATTTATTTGTTTATTTATGTCCTTTAGATTAAGTTTTTGTTTTTTGCTTATAAAATGTCAGAGAAGTGACCGGGGAAAATATAATTGACAATGCTGGGATTCTTATAAGATAGTGATTAATTTGAATATAAACATGTTAAAGTTTGCACTAGACAAAAATCTTAGTAATCATTTTGTACATTATTTTAATTACATGTACAGTACAGCTTTGCCCTTAGGACTGTGTGTGCATGTAAATGAGTAAAAATAAATGAATAAAGTTATATACATTGAGCCAAAAATATTAGTTGAAAATCTTTATGTAGACAGAGCTTGGATGACTAAATTTTAGAATGACCAATAATTTTAATATAAAACATGCAAAAATATTCAAGAACACAACTTTCTTGATATCCACTGGAAACGACTGTAAACATAGAACCGATTACTGTATTGGCGGACTGGCCTATCGGCTGATGCACACAACAAAGCGTGTTTCTCGTAAGGCTTTTGTTAATTGAAGTTTAGTTTGTTAATGGAACTGAAAATCCTTATGGGAGCTAAATCGTTAACTAAAAATTTCATTAATTGAGCCGATCGTTAATCGAGGGACCACTGTATAACGACATAATTCCTACAGTATGTAGTGGTTCGATCACGGCTGTCCGATCCGGCTCTTCAAGTCACTTATGATGAGGAAATTCATCTTTCATATTTCAATCTCATAATCTCATTTAATAAGTTCATGTCATGCCGTTCACAATGTATTTATGTATTCTTGGAAAACCTTTACTGTAATAATTGTATTTGTATATATTTTTATCTCTATTTATTTATAACAAATGGGAAAAAAATCCTTGACAAAACACCAAACTATGTTACAACGTTACCTCACAATTATTTAATAACTTACAATAATGTTTGAACACTCACGCACATAGACACATACGTACACGAAGAAGGTAAATTTCAACGGGGTCCCTTGCCAATTTTATTAATTCTAAAAAATATTACATTAATTAGTGAAATCTCGTACTTAGGTGATAGTGATGTATTGTATCCCTGTAGACCTTCCAATTGTCATCTGAGTAGACTTAGCTTATTATATATTTTAAATGACATTTCTTTAGATTATTGACTGTTTGCCCACAAAAAATCCTTGTTTTTAAACTGGTTCACCACAGGATAGCACTGGAAAGTCTTTCATTTTGTAGTAACTGTGTAGTATCCATTTAATGACATATAATTTAAACATAAATAAATAGATGGATAAATGTCTCACAGGGAATGTAAAATAAATAATTTAATTAAATAAACTTCATAATATTGTTTCATTTATACAACTGTTTTTACAGAGAAGCACGCACGCACACACACACACACTACATCCCTGATCACCGTAGGGTCAAGACCTATTCAGGTGCTGCTCCTGCTAAGAGCCAATGTTCGGCTCATTCCTCAATTCCCTCTCCCGGACCCATCCTCACCACCGGGATATCAACATAATCAAAAGTGACAATATCGTTTCGGAAAGAAGTGGGACCAGTGTTGAACAGTGTTTAAGTCAGTGAATTCACCACTAGACAGTACCAGTGAGAGCCGTGACCCACCAGTGAGATAAGCACCCCTGGGAACTGACCGCCATCTTCTGACCAGGAGATGCTAATCAGTCCACCCTGGGAACAACAGGGGGACGGCTTCACACCTGACTACAAGATAACACAACACCACCCGGTGTCTCCATGACCAACCCGGCCCGAGCCATCAACTGTAAACTATAATAATTTGTATGTTCAATCATTGTTCCTTCTTCTTTCAGTAATAAAAGCTTTTGTTAAACGACCCACCCACCCCATGTCTTTGTATGTAATAAGTCATTTTTGTCCAATGTATATTTTCAGCCTTCAGGCTGCCGACTTTTTCAATCAACCGTTAATTATTATTATTATTACTGCGCACGCATGCCCGCGCGCGAACGCACGCACACACACACACACACACACACACACATTTACTACAGGCAGCATTGAACCGATGATTCTGCTTAATTCCACAGCGAATTAAAACAGCAGTTTGTGTTGCATGAAATCAGCGTCTTTAGAAAGAAGTTTGTTTAGCATCGGTTACATACAACTGGATTAATTACCCGAAAGGTATTAAACGTTTGAAGACAATATTAGTATAAATTAATGATAAACAGGCAACCTCATAAACAGCCTGCACACAGCTGTGCCCGATGCATGATGTTCTTTAACATACTTACCGACTTTTACTTATGTTTAATTGTCTAAACATAAATTCATATAGGTTGGCTCATTGCTCTGTCCATTTCAAAATCAAATTAACAGTATATACCAGCAGAAAGGCATAATATAATACAAAACAACAAAGACCAACCATTAATTAAGCAACGGGGAACTAAGTAACCGATCACCGATCACTTTTACATTCATTCATAATTTCTACTACACAGTAAACAAATGGCCTTGAGTTGCCAGCTGTCTCCAGCAGTGTTCAGAGAATCTTGAATGAGACTGTACATTCAGGAACCAGTGCATGTCCAGTACTTGCCAACAGTGCATAACATAGAGCCAGTACATGCCCAGTACTTGCCAACAGTGTGTAGCCGAGACGTGACCCACTGCCCAATTGGCTAAGAGGATAAAATAAAGTACCACCATCAGCCACTCACCTCACAAATGCTGTCAACTGGTGTCAACTCATCAGTGTATGTCTTGACACGGATCCTGGTGTTGTAGCGGACTGACAGCAAGTTGTACACCACCTGAAATACAATAAACAATTGATAATAGTTGTACACCACCTGAAACACAACACTGACAGTACAGCAGGTTGCACACCATCAAAAATTATGTTAACAGAATCATGGCTGGACAGTGGGTGAGTACTGTAGGCCGTGTGTGGGGGAGCTCCGTGTTTTTCATCAAAAACAGGGTCATATCAGGAGCACTCTGTCCGATTTCTAGAAACCTGATTCGTAAGTGACTAGTGAGTGTCATGACCAGTACAGTATCTATCTGTGATCCCCCTAAGTAGATATAATTGTCAATTTACTGGTGAATCTGTGACTACCACGTGAGGTGTAGGCCCACCAAGCTCCCCTCAGTGCCACGGCTTGTAATCTGAGCCCTGTCCACCCCCACCCTCCCACCAGGTCACCCAGCTGACCACACAACTAGACCGTCTCCCTACTGCCAGCTACTCAGCGATCACTAGCTCCAATATGTCTAAGTCGGCTGCTAGTATCAAACATTCAAATTTCACGAAACAACAGCTGACTGATGTGATAATGGAAGTACCACGGACTCTCATACAACAAATGAATAAGGAGACCATCAGGAAGCTAGAAGAGGTTGACATGCATCTCACTGACCAGCTAAGTGAGATTAGAAGCAGCTTAGAATTCTTGCAAAGGGAAATAAGTGACTTACAAGCAAAATTGAACATTGAAGCTAAAGAGAACTACACCTAGTGAACTTAAAATTTTATTGGTGAAATTACTTTATCACACATTGATCCATTGGCTGGAGCAAGGAAGTTGTGTTCTTGGGGATGTACTCCACTCTCACATTATCAGAAAGATCATTTAAATTTACTGGGTGGCTTGGTGCATTGTCTAAGAGGAGCAATGCTTCATTAGATATGTTACGCTTGGCATTATATCTTTCTACAGCAGGGCAAAAATAATTAGTGAACCAGTCATGGAAAAGGGTCATAGTCATCCAAGCCTTCTTATTGGAATGCCAAGCCACAGGTGGATTAGACTTGGCATAGCCCTTGAGAGCCCTTGGATTTTCTGAGTGATACACAAGTAGGGGCTTTAATTTCATGTCACCTGAAGCATTTCCTCCCACAAGAAGTGTTAAACGATCTTCGGATGCTTTAAAGCCCGGTGCTGATTTTTCTTCAGTGGAAATAAAAGATGTAACAGGCATGCAATTCCAGAAAAGCCCAGTTTTATCAACATTGTACACTTGTTCTGGTGTGTAGCCTCCTTCATCAATGATTTTCTTCAGCTCAGCAGGATATTTATTAGCAGAATCTGTATCAGCACTGGCAGCTTCACAGCTCATTTTTATGTTGTGTAAATTAAGGCGCTTCTTAAACCCTTCAAACCAGCCTTTACTAGCCAGAAAAGGTTTAGCCTCAGAAGATGCACCTTCCTCTTCCTGCAAATCATTATACAAACTTGTGGCTTTCTGTTGAATGACCATAGTGGCACATTGTGTTTAGTCTGATCTTCAATCCAGACACTCAGGAGTCGTTCCATATTTAGCATCACATCACTTCTATGAAAATGCAAGGTTCGAGCAGTTAATGGAGTAGCAGCTTGAGCACTTGACCTAATTCTGTCCTTATTATCACGGATTGTTCCCACTGTTGAAGTAGCAAGACTTAATGTTTTTGCAATCTGGCTAAGTTTTTCTCCAGCATCAAACCTTCTGAAAACATCAAGTTTAATATCCATGTAATGCCTTTGTGGCTTCTTTTTGCACTACTGCGGTCACTTCCACTTGATGGCCTCTTTCCAGTCATCTTGAATAAGGGTAATGCACTGTACAGTAGTCCTTCGGTTATAGAACTCAATTCGTTCCAGAGGGTCGTTCATTAACCGAAACCATTGTTTCAATGGGATTTTGGGTAATTGGTTCCAGCTCACCGAAAATTACATACAAAGTAAAAAAAAATGCAGTAAAGTACACTTACTTCGAGGCGTGTATGTAGAAGGTTCCTGGTTGTTGATGATGATGATGGGAATTTGAAGTGGGAGGTGGAGGAGGAGAAGGGAGAAGAGAAGGAAGTGGGGGTGGAGAAGCATTTTAGTGCTTCATGGAAGGCGAGACACCTTCCATAAAAATATCAGGAACCTCTGGACTGACAGGTTCTCTAGCAGGAAAATCCTCTCTCCTTTTTGAAGTGGAAGCCTGAAGGGTAGCATCTTTCTCCCGCTTCCTTTTAGAGAAGACACTGTCAATTACTCTTTGTGGGGCATTTCTCCTCCTCATCGTTAACTGATTTTAGAAGGAGACCACTTTGTCCTCAACATTACACAAAATAGGTTCTGTTGTTTCCACATCAGGATGCCTTGAAGTCAGCTTCCTGAACTTCACCCAAGTAGTGAACAACATCTTTTAAATCTGAAGAAGACATATGGTCATCACTTTCCCTTTCCTCCTCACCACTGTCAGCTTCTAACATCTCATCCAGTTGCTTCAAGTCTTCAGGAGTAAGTTCCTGCTCATGAGACATCGCAAGCTCTTCCACATCATCCTCCTCCACTTCAAGGCCCAATGACTGACCAATGGGCACAATCTCCTTGTCCAACTCCGCTTCTTCATCAAATCCCTTAAAATCATGGACTGCTGATGGCCACAGTGCTTTCCATGCAGAATTGAGGGATCTAATGGAGACTTCTTGCCATGATGACACAATCAATTTTACAGCCTCCAGGATGTTGAATTGTGTCTTCCAGAACTGTGCCAGTGTTAGTTCAGGATCAGTGAAAGTTGCCTGATGACACCTTCTGAACATTTTCTTCATGTACAGCTTCTTGAAGTTGCTGACCACATTCTGGTCCATTGGCTGCATTATTGATGTAGTGTTGGGAGGCAAAAACAACACTTTGACAAAGTCAAATCGAGCCTCCAAAGTGCTGGCAAGGTCAGGGTCATGACCAGGAGCATTATCCATAAGGAGAAGAGCCTTTAAAGGGAGTTTATTGGTGGTTAGGTAGCTCTTGACAGAAGGGCAAAACACCTCAACAGCCCATTCATTAAAAAGCTGTCTTGTCACCCATGCCTTACGGTTGGACTTCCAATAAACTCCAAGCTGTCCTCTTACCACCTTTTGTTGCTTGAACACCCTGGGGTTCTCAGAGTGGTAGACAACCATAGGCTTCAGTCGGAAATCCCCTGAAACATTGGCACCAAGGTAGAGTGAGACGGTCCTTCATGGGTTTATGCCCAGGTAAAGAGGCTTCATCTCTGGTGATGAATGTTCTTTTGGTCATTTTCTTCCAGAACAGCCCAGTTTCGTCCACAATGAACACTTGCTGTGGAAGATAATTTTCTTCCTCCACCAGTTCCTTAAACTCCACTACAAATTTTGCTGCTCCTTCTTTATCTGCACTGGCAGCTTCACCATGCCTAACAACACTAAAAATGTCACTTCTTTTCTTAATTTTTTCAAACCAGCCTTTGCTGGCCCTAAGCTCTTCAAACTCTGTGCCAGAAGAACTAGGTTGTTCTTCCTTCAAATGTTCGTAAATTTCCCTGGCTCTTTCATAAATAAATTCAGTCAAAATTGAATCTTTCATTTGTTTTTCCTTAATTCAAATGAAAAGTAACCTCTCTGTTTCTGAAATTAAGGATCTACCTTTAAATACTGGTAGATTTGTCTCTCACTTTCACTTCTTTAAACTTGTCTTTCTGTGCAAGAATTGTCGACACAGTTGATGCCGACATTCAATATTCTTTACTAAGCACATTTGTTCTAATGCCTTCATCATGTTTCTTTATGATTTCCTGTTTCACCTGGATTGAAATCGCCTTTCTAGATTTCTTTGGACCCACGCTGGATTCAATAACAATTTCACCACTAAAATTTTAAGTATAATTGCTGTAATTAAAGATTATTTTATTTAAATCAAAACTGCACTGTGCTATATATTATCAATATGTTAAATAAATTTCAGAATGACCACCTGTCAGGATGCATTGGTGGATGGCAAAGCCAACTCCATAGATGCAGTTTCTCTCCGCAGCAGACTTACCCTTCCAGAAGGTCTAGCCAGAGCCCTGTTCTGTGAGTCGACCCTTGTCTGGGAGCCGGAACTCACTGATGGCTGCTATGTCGATGTTATACCTCGCCAGCTCTTTTGCCACAAGGGCAGTTCTTCTTTCAGGACGCTCATTTGTGCCAGTATCCTGAAGGGTCCTGACATTCCATGCAGCGACAATAAGAGGTTGTATAGTTTGTTTTTCTTTGGATCTGTGATTTGATTGTGTTTTTGACCTCATAAGGATGACCTTACTGGGTGTGGTTGCCCAGTCAGGTTGGTTCTTTAGGCAGGCTATGTTTAGGGCATCTTTTCTAGCCCCCTCCCCATGACGGGTGAGCAGAGTGGCTCCTCGAAAGGGCCGCTCATGTGCAGAGTTGTGACTAGAGACTCCCGGCAGTCATCTCTGCCTGTCCCTGTCGCCACTCGTCCGTCGTCATAGGACTTTTGGGGGTATAGTGGTTTTGATAATGATGAGGAGAGAGGTATGATAAGCTGGATGATGGCTACGCGTGAGTTGATTTATGTGGTGAGGCAGGAGCGCAGGCTGCAACCACACATCTTGGCTCTCCCTTTCTCTGATCCAGTGGTGCAAGTGTTGCAACGACTGGGGAGAGGGAGAGTTGCAATGGCCTGCCAATAGCCCAGTTTGTTGGGTTTTTCCTTAGTTGCCTGTCCATCATGCATTGCCTTCGTCCTCTGATGTAGTCGTTGGGTTCCCATGGTGGTCACCTCTTCCGCCCTATACCACCGTTGGGGTCTTGGAGCTCTGTAAGCATGTCTGCCTGATGCGGGGCTCCACCGCAAATTTTTCGTTTGGGGTTTACTCCCGTAGCTTTATACCTGCCAAGGTTAATCCACAAGACAGCGGGGCGGTGGTTGGCAGGTGCCAGGGCGTGTCCACATGCCAGTGGACCTAAGCGCCGCCCCTCTGGGGCCAACTGCTACTCCGACATCCCCTGCTGGTTTAGCTTGGGCCCACGAGGCACCCAGTTACCGTGTGGTGCCACAAGGAGGCACAGCAGGAGTCTTGAGGGTGAGGAGGCTGTGTACTGGCAAGGGAAGACTTATGCAAGTTGCTTCCCTGTTCGCCACGAGGGCTAGCCAGCGGCGGTAGCTCAAAGTGAGAGGAAGCAAGCAATGCCTGTACCTAAACCCGAACATAATGCTGCCACACTAGATGCATTACACCACCCTGCACACGCACACACACACACACACACTAATAATAATAATAATACAGTAGACTCTCACCAATAACGTCTAATAGGTGCCTGAAAAACACCATTATTAGCGAAAACGTTATTTGTGTGACGTTAAAATACATGTAAAAAAGGTTTATTGGTGCCACTGCCACAAGAATTTCACCCATTTTTCCCCTTGAAGCCCTCCTAACACTTTCTGTTAGCTGAAGTAAAAAGAATTGTTATTCAATCATCAAAATAAAGAGTTTGAGTAATATAACACTTAGTTCTTGAGGTGCTTGGTGTGATGGTTGTTCCGTATGTGAGGGCCGCTAACACTTGCACTGTCTTTCATTCTACAACCTAACCATTTCACAAGAAAATGTTCTGTTATCACCAACAACCTGTTTCTATCACCTTTATCATTCATTGCTCGCCTCGCATTTCCATCACTACCGAAATATTTTTAGCCAGCACAATACTCTTCTTGGTCTCCTCTAAGTTCCTCTTAATATTTCGCACTGTAGACTCAGGACAGTTCAATTTCCTCACTTTAAAAGTTCCCAGTCATTCAGGTGGCAAATCACTCCCTCCACCACCTCCCCTAGCCACTGGTTATAGAGGGGAAAATCTCACACATGGGAGCAGCGCTGTATTCCACTGAGCGTGTGTGAGAGTGAGGCGGAGTGGACAACTACGTCATCAACATGGCAGCAAACAAATGCTATCATTGATGCGCTTGGACGCTTCCCACGAAATTTCCATTATTCAAGAGAATCCAGACGTCATTATTGAAAATGGGTATCTATTGTAACTTACCGTTATTGTCGAAAACGTTATTGTGGAAGTCGTTATTGGCGAGAGCCTACAGTAATAATAATAATAATAATAATAATAATAATAATAATAATAATAATAATAATAATAATAATAATCATAATAATAATAATAATAATACAGTAGAAGTCCAAAAATCCGGATGCCAGAAATCCGGACCACCCGAGAATCCGGACTTTTCGAAAACTCACTTTTTTTTTAATTTAGCTGTCTTTTGTGTGTATGTGCACATGCGTGAGCGCCACAGCTGCACAGCAACAACAAGCGACCACGCGGTCGCCACTTTAAAACGAGCAATCAAACTGTGACAACATGTAATTTTGAGTCCTACTCTTTCCATTTACAGAGTACTGTACAAGCCCATAATAATGGCTCCTATAGTAGATAAACTTCGTTGTGTGAAGAGAAAGAAGAACACGTTCAAATTAAGTGACAAACTTGAAATAATTAAGAAACTAAAACGTGGTGTGAGCAATACTGTTCAAATGGAAACATACGACATTGGAAAGTCTACAATTTATGATATAAAAAAGGCAAAGAATAAAATTCTAGAATTCACAGCTTTTTCTTTAAAACTGCTCGTTTTCATAAATGAAGCATGCTATATTTGCTAATGAATAAACTATCAAAATGAACCTGTTCATCTCTTCTTTATTCCTCCTTAAATTTTAATTTTAATAGCACTGCCTGAGAATCCGGAAAATCCGAAAATCCGGACCGACCCAATCCCCAAGCAGTCCGGATTTTTGGACTTCTACTGTAGTAATAATAATAATAATAATAGCCGTCAACCGACCTCAAAGCGATACGCCCTGGTGGGTACGTCGAGACCACAGAGGTCGGCCAAACTTGTGTACTGGGCGTTGGTGTGGTCCTTCAGGAAAGATATTACAGGAATCACACCTTCAGGCGCTATGAGAACCTCCAACTCGTTGCCGGCCGTCAGCTGCACCTGAAGTTAAGCCATAGTGTTATAACTGTCTGTTTTTGGTCTTTTTATGGGGAATAGCCCACCCTGGCACAGGTCACCGACCCACAACCGAAGAAGCCGGAAAACCAGCTTTTTAAAGTGAGACAGATTGTATAAGTATGGAAACACAGAAGAAGGCAAAGCATTCCACAGTTTGGCTGTGTGAGGAAAGAAGGAGGAACTATAACGGGTTAATATGGCGTGACCGACATCCACAGAGAAACGGTGGGCACCGCTGGCAAGACGCGTGTTACGAGCCCACGGCCTTGCCGGCGGTACACAGGATGCCAAATCCACCGAACATTGCCCGTTAAAGTACAGTACAGTAAGGCCTCTGACAACGACAGTTCAACAAACGACTCTACATATTTAGGACCCTAGTTAATTTAGGACCCAATTCAATTTACGTCCTTATTTATTCATATTTACGACAAAAATATAATAAAAATAAAACAAAATTACATTTTAATTTATATAATAACTAAATCCCGATATGTATTATAAAAAATAAATAAAATACTGTAAAAAAATAGAAGAAGAGCGTCTTGTGCACAGAAGTTGCCTGGCAAGGGAAGCTGCTGGGCTAATGAGTGGTAATGCCCATCACCAGTACATAACGGTCGGAGCTTGGTGGTCCCTTTGTTTTCATGAATCTGAACAGGAACAGGAGAAAAACATTGACGTTACGCAGTCTCACTTTTTTCTTTGCCATTAGCGGTTAGCTGTGTCTAGTGTTCCATTTAATAACATTACTTAAAACAACCATATTAATTTGTTTACATTAATTTTACTACAGCTACAACCAGGGTCTTATTTTCTTCAGCTTTATATGTAGAACCAATCAGTCACTGGTTTTCTAAACATTAATGAAAACAATGGCGTCTCGTCTCCTCTTGTGTGTTTTAATATTCTATGTATTATTAATGAATTATATTGTTCATTTTGCACACAAACATTAATTCAATCAAAAAGACATTCAGTAATAAACAATATTGAATCTTTTGTACACAAGAGAAATGACGCCGTTTAAACGATTGTGCGCGTCTCAACGTTGGCCGTCTCCCTTTATCATCAGTGGTTACTTCTACTGTACAATTATTCAATAACATTAATTAAAAGAAACAAATTTTTTTAGATTATTTTTACTACAGCTACAACAAATCTTATTTTCTTCATTTTCAGGTGGAGAATCATCGGCCCGGCTGTAAGCATTAACGAAAACAATGGCGTCCCATCTCCTTGTGTGACCATATTAATATTCATTTACTGTATATTGTATAAGGTGCATTCAGAAACATTATTTAAAGAATATAGTTTGTAATTTTCATTAATTGTCTTGTTTTTTGGGGGGAAAAGAGGGTAAAAAGCCGCACAAAAGATATGAAAAGGTCACACTGGGGAACGCATTTCATTATTATTGCCTTATTTTAATGGTAATTAATGATTCGCAATAAGACGATTCACCTCACACTGCAATATTGGAGGCCGCATTACCATCGTTATTCGAGGCTTTACTGTACCTGTAAAAGGAGAGAGTGAAGCAACATTGTGGTGAAGAGAAAGGGAAGAGAAATTGTCGACTAAAGGAGGAGAGTTAATAAGACGAAATGCCTTTGATTCCACCCTATCTAACAGTTGAAGAGCCATCCCAGATATGAGAGCAGTACTCCAAGTTAGGACGAATGAATCCCTTATATACTTGAAGCAACTGCTCAGGAGTGAAGTAGCTACGGCATCTGTACAGCATTCCCAACTTTCGGGAGGCAGCTTTAGCTATGTTGAGGATGTGTGGCTTCCATGATATATTAGAGGAAATGGTGAGGCCTAGCATATCTATTTTGGAATTTGGCAGAATAATTACGTCCTGAAAAGTGATTGGTGGGAGATCATCTAATCTGGAAAGTATAATTGGTAAATACTGAGTTTTATTACTTTTGAATTTAACCAAGTTTGTACCTCCCCATTCAGAGATGCTGCACAGATCCGCATTGATAGAAACAGATCTAATTTGAGAATTAGGAGGAAGGGAAAATGTGAAGAGGAGTGAAGAGTAGAATCAGTGTATCACCAATATAAGAGTGGATAGAATTAGTTGTAATGTGAAGTAAATCATTGAAAAAAAGAAAAAAGAGAGTAGGTGAAAGAACAGAACCCTGTGGGACACCACTATTGGTAGAGAAAGAGCAAGAGATCGATCCCTCGACAACAACTGCCATGGATCGGTTGTCAAGGAAGCTAGAGATTAGAGAACAAAGTGGGAGAGAAACCATAAGAGGGAAGTTTAGAAAGCAAAGACTTGTGCCATACCCTGTCAAATGCTTTGGAGATGTCGAGGGCCACGACAAAAGTTTCCCTGTAATCCCTAAGAGATGATGACCAAAGATGGGTGCAATAGGAGAGCAGATCACCAGTAGATCTCGCCTGGGGAAAGCCATACTGGTGATCCGACACGAGAATGGTACACACTTAAGACACACTACCAAGTACTCACCTTCTGCACATACTTAGGCAGACACTCTGCCAAGTACTGTCCATATTCACTCAGTGTCTGCCGCTGGATAACATTTTCAGGACGGATGGTGGCTGTAATAATCATAAGGTTAGTAAAAGCACTGCTCAACAGATACTATTATAGGGATGTTTAAAATACACCTTTTATAACACTAAAATGACCAACAATACCATAACAGTTGGTTATGTCAAGGGAAATGTGTAACAATGTACTGCAGTGTAATAATCCAACACAGTTGTTATATTAACACAGTTTACAGAAGGTAGAGTCACTTACGGTGCAGGTCAGAGCTACACAGTCGCACCCCCGTCACGGCCCGCGGCACAACTGAAACTGTCAACACAACTTTATATGTATACAATATAGTCTGGATATATATATATATATATATATATATATATATATATATATATATATATATATATATATATATATATATATATATATATATATATATATATATATATATATATATATATATATATATATACACACACACACACACACACACACACACACGCGGGGGTTAGGTAACAGAGATACCCGTGAATGCTAAGAATCCGCATATTTTTGCTGCCCCCCCCGCAAAAAAAAACAACACCCCTGGCCCCCCATGTCCTTATTTACTGTGTACACCTGTGTGTAGTTCGAGTTTTTAAGGCCAAATTTTTTGGTAAAAAATTGGGGGTCGACCTCTAAACGGGTAATAGATTCGTTAGGTTGAAAACGTTACATTTGAAACATCAATCTTTGTTAATTAAATTTTTAACAAAAGAAAACTACGATACCGTATTTCTAAATACCAGGTATTTTCATTAAAATATTACATTACAAGTATATTTTACCTTAACTGTGATTGAATGAATATATTCTCAGAAATAAATATGGAAATGTAATTTTTTTGCTGAAATGACATACGGTATTACAGTGGAAAGTGGGATAAAATCATGACGAAAACAATGACTTTCACTTTCTTTCGTTGTTCAAAAGATTTTACCGTAATCGCTTTTTGAATGGTTTTCAGTTAAAAAACTGTTGTATTACAATAATATTCTATCCTAATTCACTTGAATAAATATTACGATACCATATTTCTGAATATTTTCATTAAAATCCATCAAAATCATTTTCCTTGTCATCGTCTTCAGCACCAAACAGCTTCTCCCAGTCTTCTCCTTCAACAGGGCTAGAGGGTACGTGTTTTTTTAATTGTTTTCAGTTAAAAAATGTTACATCACATGTATATTATACCTAAACTGCACCTGAATGAATATATTCTCAAAAATAAATAGTAGTTTTGCTGAAATGTGATGTATTTCAATGTAAAATAGGATAAAATATATGAAAAAATTTATGTATCTATAAATAAACGTTTAAAAATGAATACTTCATGTTTTACATGGTCCTGTGCTACCATACCGTAACTTACCATGCATTTGGCTACTTTGGGCTGGCTATGATGATGATGCAGGAGATCTGCCCTGGCAACTGTACCAACACTCAACAGCTGGTGGTGCGTGTCGTAAACAATATGAGGTTGAGGTGGATTATTATATTAAGTGTGAAATATCGAAAAGGTTTTTATTACCGGTATTTTTTGTCGATCTACGGCTACTGTGATACCGTATATGATATGATAAGTTAGCCCGTGGCAAGAACTTCAACATAGACTACTGAAAACACGTTGTAAGGTAAGTTAGCCGATTGTAAGTTGGTGAGCTTCATCTGCTGAAGGAACTGCACAGTTTATCATTACTAATTGGTACATATTTTATGTTTCCATTGTTTACTGGCAGTAAATGTTAAATATTTTTCATGTCTAAAGCTAAAAGTTGCTCCTCGCCCTTCCCATCATGCACGGATTCAACCTAACTAATCTATTACCCATGTAGAGGTTGACCCCCAAATTTTGCCTAAAAATTTGGTCTTAAAAACTCCAACTATACACGACTATATATGGTATGTACAATAATGTTCGTTGGCTTAGTCGAAGTTCTGCCCTTAAATGATCTGTTGAGTGTTTTGATGAAACTCGTCTGTTTTTGAAGAGTTAAAAATGTTCTTGTCAAGAATTATCTGACGTTGTGTGGAGTTGTAGATTGATGGTTTTTACAGATGTCTCTTCACTCTTAAATGACTTGAACACCAAATACAGGGATCTGGCAAAACACTTGATGTTATGTTTGATAACATAAAAGCCTCTGAAATCAAACCGAAAATTTTTAAACGTGATGTCGACAATGGCACTTTTAAATATTTCCCATCCTAAAAAAACACAACTGATCTTGAAATTCATAAGAAAACAGACATTCAGATCCTTCAAATGCAATTTTCGAGCATCATTGATTCAACTACTGAACAATTTTCTTTAAGATTTACTAAGTTCAGGTCATTTGAAGAAACTGCACAATTCATAAACTGTGCAGCAGACATTGTAACATTAGACAAACTGAATTTGGAAATGTTGCAGTGGATTGATTTGGATAATTTTGAGATGCAATTGATTGACTTACAAAACAGCTCAATTTGAAGGCCAAAATGTATCTATCTATCGATGTATCTACCGTCAGCAGTAGCATCACCGGAACCTCACACATGTTACCATTATGTCCTTATATATGTTATTAAATCATTGTGGTGGTGTGTGAAGAAGGGTTACCTAACAGTAATAGTTCCTCTGGTGTGTGAAGAAGGGTTACCTAACAGTAATAGTTCCTCTGGTGTGTGAAGAAGGGTTACCTAAGAGTAATAGTTCCTCTGGTGTGTGAAGAAGGGTTATCTAACAGTAATAGTTCCTCTGGTGTGTGAAGAAGGGTTATCTAAGAGTAATAGTTCCTCTGGTGTGTGAAGAAGGGTTATCTAACAGTAATAGTTCCTCTGGTGTGTGAAGAAGGGTTATCTAAGAGTAATAGTTCCTCTGGTGTGTGAAGAAGGGTTATATAAGAGTAATAGTTCCTCTGGTGTGTGAAGAAGGGTTATATAAGAGTAATAGTTCCTCTGGTGTGTGAAGAAGGGTTATATAAGAGTAATAGTTCCTCTGGTGTGTGAAGAAGGGTTATCTAACAGTAATAGTTCCTCTGGTGTGTGAAGAAGGGTTATATAAGAGTAATAGTTCCTCTGGTGTGTGAAGAAGGGTTATATAACAGTAATAGTTCCTCTGGTGTGTGAAGAAGGGTTATCTAAGAGTAATAGTTCCTCTGGTGTGTGAAGAAGGGTTATATAAGAGTAATAGTTCCTCTGGTGTGTGAAGAAGGGTTATCTAAGAGTAATAGTTCCTCTGGTGTGTGAATAGTTATATAAGAGTAATAGTTCCTCTGGTGTGTGAAGAAGGGTAATAGTTCCTCTGGTGTGTCTAAGAGTAATAAGTTATCTAAGAGTAATAGTTCCTCTGGTGTGTGAAGAAGGGTTATATAAGAGTAATAGTTCCTCTGGTGTGTGAAGAAGGGTTATATAAGAGTAATAGTTCCTCTGGTGTGTGAAGAAGGGTTATATAAGAGTAATAGTTCCTCTGGTGTGTGAAGAAGGGTTATCTAAGAGTAATAGTTCCTCTGGTGTGTGAAGAAGGGTTATCTAAGAGTAATAGTTCCTCTGGTGTGTGAAGAAGGGGGTTATTATAAGAGTAATAGTTCCTCTGGTGTGTGAAGAAGGGTTATATAAGAGTAATAGTTCCTCTGGTGTGTGAAGAAGGGTTATATAAGAGTAATAGTTCCTCTGGTGTGTGAAGAAGGGTTATCTAAGAGTAATAGTTCCTCTGGTGTGTGAAGAAGGGTTATATAAGAGTAATAGTTCCTCTGGTGTGTGAAGAAGGGTTATATAAGAGTAATAGTTCCTCTGGTGTGTGAAGAAGGGTTATATAAGAGTAATAGTTCCTCTGGTGTGTGAAGAAGGGTTATCTAAGAGTAATAGTTCCTCTGGTGTGTGAAGAAGGGTTATCTAAGAGTAATAGTTCCTCTGGTGTGTGAAGAAGGGTTACCTAACAGTAATAGTTCCTCTGGTGTGTGAAGAAGGGTTATATAAGAGTAATAGTTCCTCTGGTGTGTGAAGAAGGGTTACCTAACAGTAATAGTTCCTCTGGTGTGTGAAGAAGGGTTATATAAGAGTAATAGTTCCTCTGGTGTGTGAAGAAGGGTTATATAAGAGTAATAGTTCCTCTGGTGTGTGAAGAAGGGTTATATAAGAGTAATAGTTCCTCTGGTGTGTTATAACTCCTCTACTCACAGGTTTTTGAGGCAGCACCGTACAGTCCCCGACACACTGAGGCCGCCATGTTCACTACAGCTGATCACCACAATGTTGGAACAAACCACGACCAGTATTGTTTAACTATTTAATTTTAAAACAAATTAACATATACAGGCTATATTTAACCAAAATTTTAACAGAAAATAGTTTTTTATAATAATGATTTCGACAATATTAAGTATAAATAATGAAATATATCAGATTTTTTTCGTGGAGCTTGGCTAACATTATCAGCGGGATGAAGGTCGCCAGGGGATGGTGGTGCCACTCTCAACTTTACCTTATTTACCGAATGGCCACCCAATAGGGCAGTTTCTTCATCCCGTTGGGACATATGATACGCCTCCTTACCGTTGGTATGCTCCAGGTGCATCCTCTTACACTTCGTGACATTGAATCTCAGCAGCCATTTCTTTGACCATTCCTGGAGCCCACAGAGGTCCTTCTGCAGTGCTTCACAGTCCGCTTGATTCTTGATTTCCCGAAATAACTTGGCGTCATCGGCAAACATTTGTATGGAGGAGTTTACAAAGTCAGGCATGTCATTTATGAAGCAAACAAACAACAGCGGGCCCAATACACTGCCCTGTGGTACCCCACTTGTGACAGGTACAGATGACGATTTCGTGCCATTAATCACCACACATTGCTTGCGGTCATGTAGAAAGTCTTCTATCCACGCTAGGACATTTCCCCGAATTCCGTACCCTTCCAGTTTGATTTTCAGCCTTTCGTGGGGTACACTGTCGAAAGTCTTGGCAAAATCTAGGTAAATATTGTCGATATTACCACCCCGTTCCAGAATATGGGTCCAAATATCCAATACCTTGAGCAATTGTGTTAAGCAAGAGCGCCCCGGCATAAAACCGTGTTGGCAATCTTTTACAAGGTTGTTTCGTATTAGATGTTCCATCACGGCATCTCTGATAATACTCTCAAGTACTTTACATATTATGCTGGTCAGGCTCACCGGTCTATAGTTGTTCGTGGAGTGACTATCGCCCTTCTTGAAGATAGGACTCACATAAGCCACTTTCCATTCACTGGGGACCATTTGTTCATCCAGGCATTTACAAAACAGAATCTTCAGGGGCTCTGCAAGCTCGTTGCACAACTCTCTTAGCACTCTGGGATGCACCATGTCAGGTCCGGGACTCTTATGGACCTTTAACCTGGACAGTTTATTTCTAATACCGTCTTCTGTGAGCACAATGTGGGTCAGTGCTGTGTCGAACCGTCTGTCCTCAAACGCAGGGAGGTTAATAGCATCCTCTCTTGTGAACACCGAGGAAAAGAAGCTGTTCAATGCCTCAGCTTTATCCTGGTCAGAATCTGCGTAACTACCATCTTCAAGCCTCAGGTCTGATACACCTACTCGCGTTTTCAATTTCGACTTTGCATAGCGGTAAAACGCCTTTGGGTTTGACTTGACCTCGCTTGCAACCAGCCTCTGGAACTCCTTTTCAGCCCTCCTACACTCTATCTTTGCTTGGTTTCTGGCTCTTGCATACATCCTCCTGTCTTGCTCATCGTTTGACCCAACCCACGTCTTGAATTTCTGGGTTTTCTTCTTAATTTTGTCGACCGCCGCATGGTTCATGTGTAGGGGTCTCCTTGTATTCCTAGAAGCACTGGGTTTGGTCTTGGGTATATATTTATCGATCAAATGGGTCGCTTTACTAGTTATGATATTCAGCGTAGTGTCTGCGTTCTTGTACCTTAATAAGTCAGGCCAGTTGATACCCCTCATCTCTTCCCTCATCCCATTGTAATTTCCCTTGTAATATTTGCACCTTGGCCTGGCCTGGCCTTACCCTGAACTAGGTAACAGTTAAATCTGAATGACAACACAATATGGTGACTGGTGCCAACGGGGGCAAGGTGTTCCAGTTTGGCCACCATACCCTCCTCGTTTGTTATGATGAGGTCAAGTGGCTTGGGTGTTTGCTCCCCTCTGTAATGTGTCGGGTCTAGCATGTTGGAACAGAAAATTATCTCTCAGAGTTTCTACAAAAAGAGTAGCAGGGTTATTCAAGTCATTCGGGGTGGACTCGTTTCTCCAGTCGATGTCGCCATAGTTAAAGTCCCCCATGATAAGGAGGTGGCTAGGGTTGAGCATTGCCGCATTGTTTATTAAGGTTCTTAAGTTCCTTTGATTTAGTGGGCCACAGTTTGGGGATCTGTAGATACACCCAACGATAATTAAGTCCCCTCCCTTTAATTTAACTTTACACCACTTGGACTCTTCAAAAACATCTTCTCCTTGTACCCTCGCCTGGCTGGCTCTAAGGTCTCGCCTAGCATAGATAAACCACACCCCTCTTGCAAGTTTCTTGAGAAATGTTCGTAAATGAGTCATATCCAGCAATACTGAACTCACATTCCTCTGGGTCGATTCTCCTGTTCTTGTTCAACAGTTCTACAACACCTACGATATCTGGTTGGTGTACTCTTAGTAGTGTTTCAAACTCCTCTCTCTTATCAAGGAACATGTCAGTATTAGTGTACATGACATTCAAGCCAGAATTTGTTCTCGGTAACGTCTCTGCTCTTAGTAATAAACCCGCTCCCCCCACATTCTCAGAAGCTGCAGCATTTGCTAAGTACACTGTATTTTGCAGGGTGTGGTTAGAAATGTCATTGTTTACACGGCGCTCGCCTCCTCCTGCCCGGTAGGCGGAGCTGGTGCCTCCTCCCGGGTGGGGGGGTTGAGTGGGTGGAGGGTGCACTACTGCCTCCTGGCCCTGTGTCAGCACACTTGCTTACACTACCCTCCCCCTGAGTATAACCCATGTACACCCGTCCCTGTTCTTCCTTGACTCCTCCCTCTTCTGCTTCAAGTCCTGCAGGAGCTTCTTGTGCTGTTCCCTCTGCATTACCGTGCGATCTGGGTAAATGAATACATCCCGAAATGCCTCGCTCCTTGCTAAGTTTTTTGCCTGCCGAATAACCTGCCATTTCTCCTCCTCACTCACTACGTATTGTGATCCTAAGGGGGCGAGGCTTATCCCCCTGCTTTTGTCCCAGCCTCCTGACATCCTGAGGGGTTGATGGAATCTTCAGAACCTCTGTACAAATATTTTGAAACAGCATCTTATCGTGTGTTACCTTACTCACAGTTCCCTCCGCCTGGCTCTCTGGGACTCCAAAAACTACTACTACATTGTTCCTGCGCTGTAGACGTTCCTGGTGTTCCTCCTCTCCCCTAACAGTAGGTCCGTTAATTTTCATTTCTTCGACACACTTCTTCAAAGTTCCAAGCTGTTGTAGAACCTGATCTGATCCTGCATTACTATCCGCTACCTCCCGTGGCCCTGCTAATATGTCAGCATAACTCCTCTTAGCAACCACCTCCATTCTATCGGCTACTTATAAATATCAACTAAATAAAACTTGGTTACAATATTATAAATTGATTTTATTATAATATAGTGCATTTAGTTCCAGGCGGTAAATTTCTTATATTTTCACTTCTATGCACGCTACTACTGTATGTTATATTTGGTAGGAATCATACTTTTATCCTCTTCACCACTGATCGGCTCGTTAGCCGCTATAAAAATATGAAATTAATCCACTTGAATCAAAATTAACGCTTAAAAAAAATAAGAAAACATAAGGAATTCTATGGCAAGCTATAAATTATGACCTTCAGTACCGTCGGAAATAACGAAATTACTTATATATAGTTGATAACACTAACCAAACCTACCTAACCTTACCTAACTTCCTTACCAACGGGTGGGCTCCATCACCCTGGACCATCCAGAAGGATAATAAATATCTCCGTTCTAGGTAATTTGTGACACAATAAAGAGTTCTTTAAAAATTGTCTCAACTATGATAGGTTTTAGATTAGATTGCCCCCGAGGGGGCTAGTTTATTGGGCACCCCCTTACATCCTGTGTAAGGTGAAGCCCAGAAGCGTTTACAGCGCCCATCTGGGAAGCATGCCAAGTTCATTCTTGCCTTTATGACTCGTGCATTAAGGGCGTAGAAGCCTGAAGGGTCATAGGTTTTGTCAGCAAGTTACATAAAGTGACAGAATGATGAGTGTGTGGGGGGAAAGTTCCCGGTACATTTCATCTGTTTATGGCAAAGCGTGGCAGGTCCCTAATAATGTCAAGTGCCAGGCCTGTCACTAGGAGGAGGGATATCTGGTCAGGGAGGGAAGAGGTGTTGGTAACTGCTTGGGACCTGTAGGAGGAGGTCATAGGGCAAGTGAGGATGTAGTGAGAGAGGGTGTGAGAGTCGGGTTGGCCACAAAGTTTACAAACAGTGCGGCCAGGCTCAGGGTTGCCAATGTACTCCCATAGGTACCTGTACCCTAGGCGCAGTTTCATGTACATAATCTGTTGAGATCAAGTCAGGGCTATATGATAGGTATATTAAGAAAATCCAAAAGTTGTGGGGGAATTATTAGCAGTAATACCGACTAGCCTTTGGGTTCATTTATCGGCTGTACAGTTTTTCCTAATTACTCACACGGCAAACTTAGAAAATGACGTTTCTTTAAATGAATGTGCTCATATAAAGAAAATATGTGCATTAATTCACGATGAAGAGCCACCATACACCACTTCCTTGAGTTTACAACCATCTCAAATCGTAGCAAGCCTAAAAAAAAACAGAGTTAAGTTGGTTTCAGAGTGGAAATCAATACCAAGGCAAACAATATTATGACTTACCTGTTCCACCAGTACTTCACACACCATGGTATACTTCACACACCATGGTATACTTCACACACCATGGTATACTTCACACACCATGGTATACTTCACACACCATGGTATACTTCACACACCATGGTATACTTCACACACCATGGTATACTTCACACACCATGGTATACTTCACACATCATGGTATACTTCACACACCATGGTATACTTCACACACCATGGTATACTTCACACACCATGGTATACTTCACACACTTTTCATACCAATCACGCAAAGGAAAATAATATAATTAGTGTGTGATGACTGTTTAACTACTCTATTATCACATTGACCAAAAGTAAAGGACTTCTAGGAGAAGTAAATAATTCCATTTACC